TATATGTAAACACATAGAGCGGTAAAGAATGAGAAGTAAAAAAATTATTTTACTTATGCTACACGTGACCATAAAAAAACTGTCAAGTCATTATTAACTTGCCGACAGCGCATATCCTCACAAAAACACATAAGTTTCGCAATATGATGATGTAGTTATGAGTCATTGAGCAACATAATATTCAAAGTAAAGAATGAAATACATAGACTTTTACATTATTTATTTTGGCCGTAATATGTTTAAAATTATGTTGCAAAAGAATCAGATCATTTTGATTCTATTTTGCTTTATGAATATTAAAACTTTAATTTGTCACAGAAAATTAAGTTATCTTTTGACACAATGGCTTACACTAAAAAACTACTAATCATAATATTTGATATTATAGTTTCAATCACACTATATGAAACCGCTAATAACGACAATATTTAATTTTATACTTACAATTATTTTTTACTACCATTTTTTCCGCAAGATTATAAAAAAAATTATTTATAGTAACTTTCGAGAATGTTGCTAACGTATTTTATCTATCGACTGAAGTATCTTACAAGAATCATAATATTCAATGAATTACAAAATAAAAATATTGACATAATATTAAACAAGGATAAAACTTCAGTAATTATTGATTATACAATTATAACTATAAAAAAATCTGATAAAAATTGGAGAAGAATCCAAAATAATTTAAAAAAAGGGAGTACGGCGTCATGATATTCGAAAAACAGAAATCAGATAAAATCTAAATTAGAATATTTATATACATCTATTAGCTTTATATATTAGTAAATGAATTTTTATATATAAAAAATAAAGAACAGATCGTTCTTATGTCTTGAATACGGACAAACTTTTAAAGTTTATTATCGAGTTAGAATATAACAGCACTGTTTTTATCATTGATTATTATTGTTGTTAGTTTTGATTCCATCTTAATTATTGTGTCATCATTAGCAATCAAACTTGATGATGAGTCATCTTTGTCAACATCTGATTCTAATCGTATCAGTTTTTTCTCAGGATTTATCCAATTGGCAAATATTGAAACAATAGTAGTATCATTATTGTTTACATCAAGTGCGTTTTTATTCAAACATATATGAGTAATACAACAAATCATGAAACATAAGATAAGAATAGTAACCAATATAATCCATAAAACAACGAAAATTTCATGATTAAATGAAAATCGTTTTGTAGTTGCTAGTTTTAGACTATCAGGAGAAGCAAACATTTCTGTATCATCAATCATTAAAGATTCACCATTGTATAAAAGATTAGTAGAAGACGACTTTGATCCATGCATACGATTTTGATGATCCTTTGATATAGGTGGTGAAAGTCTACTGTCTGTAGGAATAAGACTAAATACAAATAACAGCATTCATCTTCAATTAAAAACAGCTACAAATTTATATGACAGACATGTACGAATTATAGATCTATAATTTTTGCCATTACTTTTGGTTGACTTTGTATCTGTTCAGTAAAATTGTTTATTACAATAGCTTACTCTATCATACTTGAAACTTGATTATCCCAACATACAGGAAACGGAGATTGTTGATCAATGGTTTCTTGATTACTTGTTGGTATGTATGCATACATTACATAAATTTTACACATTTCATCGTTACGTGTTGTTCTAAGATTATAATATTATCTGATACATGTTCTACGAAAAAGACGTTCTTTTTATTCTTACCCAGTGACAATAACTCGATCATCATTATTATCATATACACATTGACCAATCAAATAATCACCACTTTTAATATCAATCCGTAATAAAAGTGAAGTAAATGCTTGATATATCTGTGGAGAATCTTTGATAATCAATGTAACATTTCCATTACGTACTCGATATAACGAATTCACTCGTCCTATCAAATAAATAATCGAGGTATATAAAATATATCTTTTACAACACTATTAGAAAAATTCATTATGGATTATTTTGGTAAAAATGTTTGATATTTTAATCATCGTTTTTGAGTTGTATCTAGATGTTGCGATGGTAATTGTAATGCTTAATGTACACTGACTTAATATCATTTAAGTTCTCATTTATTTAAGACGATGCGGTTTGATAACAAACTGATTTCACTCGACAAATATCTGGTCGTGGCATCTACTTTTCTTTAATCTTTAGTTGATTTTTATCTAATCCAGCTGTTAACATTTCTTTTATTAAAAATAATAATGACTACAAAACTATTATATCTCTATATACACGATTTATCATATAGCTTTTGTTTTAATATGAACTTCGATGACTGAAAACAAAAATGAATATAATACAAACCCCTTATATGCGTATGACTAGCAGCAGCAAAAAAGAAAACAAGTTGTCCTGTATAATAACACGAAAAAGGAACTTGAATAGCTAAAAAGAAATACTCAATAACTAAAATATTTTCTATCTATTGTTTTTTGATTACTTTCCGTTTTTGGTGGCAATATAATATCACTTGAACCAGTCAATAAAATATTAGCATGATATTTACAACTTAAACAAAAATATAGAATATACTTACGGTTTTCGAGTCATAAATAATTAAAGTCCAAAATTATCTCTTTTGCCAATGAATAAATAATGAATATTAATGATAATATATTTATGTGGAGTATTACGTCCAACAGCAAAACCAACACCTAAATATAATATATATATATAAATTTTCTTCAACATTTTAATTTAACTGACAAAACCTTTTAGTAATAATGATAATGTAGGTTTACTATGAGACCATTCATAAAGAATCACTGCTGAACTAATACATGGTTGATGTCTAGTCCTATATAAATAATGTTATATGAGCAAATCAAAGACGCAATCAAAGAACAAACGAAGACGATTCGTTCGAATATGGAATAGAACAAGTAAATGTAAGCAGATGATGAGTAGTAGTTAAATTAATTAATGGAAAAAATCCAACTAAAATTTAAAATATTGAATTTATTTAAATAAAAAAACTAAATTCATCTTACTAATGAATAATTCTTCATCAGGTATTTTATATTGAATATACATGTTTTGATCATTCTAGAAGAAAAATAAATAACGTACAAAATTTTTCTTGGACTTTTCTATGAACTTTTATTGTTTCGAAACCTTTCATTGTAATATTAACAGAAAAAATATCATCTTGATCTGACATATTTGTTGATTGATCACAATTGATCACAGTAATAAGAAGAATTGTAATAAAATGAATGATAAACATTTTAAAACTAGTATTTTTTTATTATATGACTTATTTGTCTATATGTATTGATATAAATCATGTTGCGTTACTTGTTTATTTCGACGTCTGTTTTTTGTCAAAGCAAAAAATATGATATATAGTATAAGACGATGTAAAACACACCCGTTTGAGTTAAGGACTACTAAACAAAAAGAAAACAAAAATAAGTATCAATGATTATCATCTTGAAATCACCGATTTCAATGTATCGAAAAGGTAGACATTTTCTCATAGCAGTTTCAAATGAATTTTTCAAAGTAGAGAATCTTTTATTTTGTTTTAATCAAGAAAAAATTTCATATATAATAATTTTGTTGAAGACTAGACAATATACTTCAATGGTTCAATTTCGAATAGATTCTCAAGAAAATGATTGTAATAATATCTTCATTCTTTCTTGGAGAAGTAAATTATAAAAAGAGTTAAATTCCTTCGATAGAAGCTTGGTATATTGTTGTTTACGTTACAAGAATAAAAAACTAGTTGTGATTGTTATTATTCAAAAATTATATTTGTTAAGCGTTGCTTCTAGCTTAACTGACTGTAATTTCATCATGCTGGTTTTCATACAAATATTTGAGAAAAAAAATCAGATGAATATCTTATACCAATAAATAATGCACGATTCTTTACAAGAGTGTAATTTAGTTATTTTTATAAGGACGTAAAAGATTTCGAACAATTTATCTCTAATAAGAACATTATCACTTTATATTTTTATATAAAATAATAATTACTAATCAATAAAGAGAAATAGAACAATTATTTTATTGTCTTTTTGGGTAATAAAAAGAATTTAATATCTATTAATCTTTATCTATTATCTTTATAATGTTCGACAAAAATGTTGTTGAATCTAATTTTGATATTCTTTTCTGTAAAATTCTGATGATAAAACAAAAATAAAAAAGTAATCATTGAAGGAATAAATGAAATAAAATAACCAAGAATCTTTTGTTGAATTCATACATTTGAATACACAAGTAAAAATTAATCGTGGTAATACGAGAAGAGGATATAGGTGTGGCTGTGTGTTAAACTACTAGTTATACCTACATCCACATCCACCTATTCTTCGAGTTTTTTTCCAACGATTTATAATAAAGAACACCATAAAGCGAAGTTTTTTCTTGATTACTTCGATTTCTATTCTACCTCTGATAACATACTTCTACTTTCTTTTTTTTATTTGCCACCAATGTCGTTATCTATTTTACGCTGTTCTTTTATTTTTCTACAACAAAAGAGACTGATAAAAATATAATTTAATTTGGAGACAAAGTAAAGTGAGTAGAATAAAGGTAACAGTTATTCTCTTGTATAAATTTCTCATGTTGAAAGCTCTAACAAAAGAAGCTCATGATGACAGCACTTCTACTACTGTTAATATTACAACAACAATGGTTAAAATGTATTTTAGATTTTTAAAGAAAACTTACACAATCGAAATTGTTCTATCTTCTTGGTTAACATGGATAGTACTAGTTTATCAACTGATGTCTCTCACGGTAAATCTGAGGAGATGCATCTTGAAATTTTCTGTCTACTCTGGCTCGATGCTAGTTCAAGTACTAAAGAAGGTCGTGATACTGAACCAAAATTACGTGCTATCATTAATCATCTTAAGAAATTTCATGATACAGCCCAATGTCAAAAATATATTCATGAACGATCAACAAAAGAACGAGTAGTTATGATTGTTAGTGGAAGATTAGGACGAGAAATAGTTCCTTCTATTCATCATCTTAGACAAGTTATATCGATTTATGTATATTGTATGGATAAGGAAGGGAACGAAAAATGGGCTCGAAACTATAAAAAAGTAAAAATTAAACTGAATCTTTTAGATTTCTATTATATGATTTATTTTTTCGTTGTTAGATAAAAGCTGTTGTAACTGATCTTGATGAACTTGTTTCTCGAATTAAAGCTGATCATAAAATTCAAAAGATGGTTGAAGAACCATTATCAATTAATATTTTTACTAAAGGTGGTGGTGCAGGTAGTTCGACAACAGGATTAAATGGTGAATTTGTTTTTTCACAAATTCTCATTGATTTTCTTATCCAACTGCAATATACCGAAGATGATAAACAAGAACTTATTGATCTTTGTAAAAAACAATATAAAGGTAATAGCGACGAATTGAGTAATATTCGTGAATTTCAAGAAGAATATTCATCTAACAAAGTTGTATGGTGGTATACACGAGAATCGTTTCTTTACAAGACTCTTAATGCTGCTCTTCGTACCCCAGCAGATATTCATACAATATTTTTATTTCGTAAATATATCGCTGATATTCAACATCAATTAAAGTGGCATCAAGCTAGAAAACGTCTTCGAGTTTATCGAAGTCAAATGATATCAAATAATGAACTGGAAACTTTGAAACAAAATCGTGGTAAATTCATTTCTGTTAATTCATTTTTTTCTACCAGTTTTAATAAACAGCAAGCTCTATCATTTCTGAACGATTCTAATAATACAGAAAATTTAGAAGCAATATTATTTCAAATCGATGCTGATCCCAAGATGGCAATTACGAAACCATTTGCTGATATCACTGAATTTAGTGAATTTAAAGACGAGGCAGAAGTGCTTTTCATGTTGGGTTCCATTTTTCGACTGGATAGTGTCAAGCATAGCAGAAATGATCAAGTATGGATCATTGAAATGACATTGTGCAATGATGAAGAAAATGACTTGAAACAAATTCTCATAGACATGAAAGAGGAATTTATGAGTGAAGGAATAAATCTCCAAACATTAGCAAAAATATTATGGGGAATGAGCCAAATTGATTTAGCTAAAAAATACTTTATGCGTTTGTTAGAACAACTTCCAATTAACAACCCTTTCCGTATTGATTTGTATCAAGACCTGAGCAGACTTGAAGCACATGCTGGTCATCTTGACAATAGTATCGAATGGCGCCGAAAAGCAAATGAACTGAAAAAAAAGCTTCAATCTACTTCTTACAGCATTAGTAAACCAAAGAATCCTTTTAGTAAGTTCACCGATAGAAAATCTAGTATATTGAAAAACTCTTTTATTACAAAGGAGAAGAAATTATACAGAATGGCTTTAATTGACAATAATTTATATACATTGTACATTATAAATATAATTAGTTCCTTTGTAATAGGTCATACTAATATAATGGATGAGTTTTTCATGATTGTTTCTTATAGTGACGATTATAAATTGTGATAGTCATGATCAAAAAGAGAATGATCTCAACAATCTCTAATGAGATTGAGGAAATTATATAATAATCAAATAAAATCATTTCAATTGAAAAAAATTGAAGAATAAAAAGAGAAAAGAAATAAAATAAGAATTGAAACAAGGAAAAACAGAAAAATCTCAATCGAAAGAAATAAAATAAAATGAAATTGATTTTTATTAAATTAAAACCAAGCAAATGAGATAAATTGATTTTAAAAGAAAAAGGAAATTTCATTTTGAATAAAAAAGCGAATTTTCTCTTGGAAAAAATTTCAGTATGATATACTTATATTGATAAACTTCAAAATAACTCGTTTTTCTTTCAGATTTTTATTTAGCAAAAAAATAGTCAACCAAATCTTTTCTAATTTCCAATTTCTTTTCTTTTCCAATTAAATCTTTGACAATTTGTTTCACAAATAAATTATTTTTCAATAAAAAATTATTTTTTCTCAAATTTGTCATTCGACAAAATATAAATTTCAAATTCTTTTTTTCTTTTTAAAACAAAATATTTCTTCATTTTATTTTAAGAAAATTTATTCAAAATAAATCTTTGCTTTTTTCTTCGATCAAAAAAAAATTTTCTTCTCCTTCTAAAATGTGTTATTTTTATCAATTTCTAGAGCCAAAACTTAACAAATGGAAACGAAATGCCATCACTGTGGCTGGCAGAAATGGATGGGGACAAGGAATAAATCAACTCTATCACCCTCTTGAAATCTTTATTGATGGAAGGAAAAATATTTTCATTGCTGATTTCTCCAATAATCGTATTGTTGAATGGAAATATAATGCGAAAGAAGGACAAATCATTGCAGGTGGAAATGGATATGGAAATCGAATGGATCAATTGAATAATCCAACAGATGTGATTGTTGATCAACAAAACCATTCGATCGTCATTGCTGATTGTGGAAACAGACGAGTGATTCGATGGTTGAATCAAAATCAACAAATTCTTATTCACAATATTGATTGTTGTGGCCTGGCAATGGATAAACATGGATTTCTTTATATTTCTGATTCAAAGAAGAATGAAGTGAGACGATGGAAAATGGGAGAATATAACAACGAAGGAGTTGTAGTGACAGGTGGAAATGGACAAGGAAATCGACTTAATCAACTCAATTGGCCTACTTATATCTTTGTTGATGAAGAACAATCTGTTTATGTATCAGATCAAAATAATCATCGTGTGATGAAATGGAGAAAAGATGCAAAAGAAGGAAGAATTGTGGCCGGAGGAAATGGTCGAGGAGAAAAGCTCAATCAATTATCTTTACCTGAAGGAGTAATTGTTGATGATTTGGGTCATATCTATGTGGCAGATTGTTATAATCATCGAGTAATGCGTTGGTGCGAAGGAAAAGAAGAAGGTGAAATTGTTGTTGGTGGAAATGGTGGAGGAAATCAATCAAATCAATTGAATTATCCCCGTGGTTTATCTTTTGATGATGAAGGAAATCTTTATGTTGCTGATACGATAAATCATCGAATTGAAAAATTTGAAATAATATTGTGAATAAAATTTCGATTTCGAATAAAAGGAAAAGAAATTTTTTGTTAAATAAAAATTGACAAATAAAAATAAAAGAAATAGCTAAACTTTATTGAAAATCAATGAAAAAAATCGGATGAAATTTGGAGAAATGTATTGATAACAAAAGAACGAGGAAAAGTCATTTTGGTTCTTTTTCCTTCAAAATCGAATTTAATCTGACAATTTTGATTAAAAAATTCGAATAAATAGATGTTAAATTCTTCATTTTTTTGTTGAATTTTACCGAAGAAAAGAAAAGGAAAGAATTTTTTAGTTTGAATTGAATTGAAACAATTAAGATTCTTTGAAAAAAAGATTTTATGCTTGATAAAGTTCTATTTGAATATTTTTATGTTTTTCAATTTGACAGAATTGGAGAATTATTCAAAAATTGAGAAGAAAAGAAATATTTTATGAAAACTTGATAATAAAAATCGAATTGAAATCGAATTTTGTTGAAAAGATCTTTTTTAATAAATTAATAGATTTTATCATTTGAAAATGAAATTATCTTCATCTATAACTATAACTTATAACTTTATTGTGAGTGAGGGTGTGGATGTGGATATTATATATTGATATTGTATCCACAACCACACCCAAATATCACCAATTTCTTCGTCAAAATTTTAGCGATTTTGACATCATGAATTTTTAAAAGAAGAGAATAGTGTACGATAATTTCGCAATGAGAACGTAAGTATTAACATAACGACGACAATATGTTGTTACTGTTCTTATTCATTTCACCGTTATCGATAAGAAAAATGAAAAAGAACGTATGCAAACAAACTACAAAACTAAAGTCGTAATATAAACTCCATATTCATCCTCGACATTTGTTAATCATATATAAACATGATTATACGTATAAATGAATTGAACAAAATACTTTTTTTCGAATAAATTTCGTTTAGAAAAATAGACAGAAACTAACGGAATCAAATGCATTGGAAGTATAACTGATATTATGAATTATAGGTTTTGCAATGGCTATACTCATTAATCCTTATCTTTTTTTTTGTTTTCTTTTTCAGGTAAAATGACATGCGCATTAGATAATGATAAAAGAAAATATCGAGTAAATATATAAAAATAGCCCAGTGATAACAAACGACAGTACGCCTATATTTATGCAAAATGTGTATCATATATATAAATAGTACACCTAACAAAAAGAAAAGTAATCTTTCGAAATATAATATTTTTACTCCTTATCACATAGTAAACGCATCTTCGATTAAACGACTATTCAACATAAATAAGGTATGAAATGGCGCAAAGTTTTTTGGTGTTTTCGTTCAAAAGAATAAAATACTGTTTGAATATCTATATTCTAATTCGAGATGTACAGAGTAAAGACTTGACTTTAGAATATCTTTTGAGAAAATAAAATAAGTTTATATCTTAAATGACAATAATATTTTTTCTGTTAATAGTGACATTCGTTGCATGACATGTTAATTCTATTGATTTTCAGTGTAATTATTTTATTAATCTTATATATTAAAAATAAATATTTTACTCTGCGTGATCATATACTTGGCTTATCACCACATTTTCTCTTTGGAAATGTAATTCAATCAGGATTTGTGTATGGTCGATCTCGAGCTCAAATCTTTGAAGAATACAAACAACGTTATGGTGATATTTTTCAATTTTTCTTTGGTCCTATACGTTTGATTGTCGTTAGTAATACTACTGATGTTCAACATATATTTACTCATCGAAATATTTATGAACAAGGTTATCTTTTTACCGAACAGTTTTCTGTTCTTTTTCCAAGTGGATTCATTACTCTCACAGGTTAACTTAGATCTTTATTTATGAAGTAAAAATTTCTTTTTCTTCATTGATATATATATAGGATCGAAACACAAACGACATGCAGCAATCGCAATGCCTTTATTTCGTCGTGCTAGAATCATTGATAATTTTGATTTGATCGTCGATTGTACTGATAAACTTTTATCTAATTGGCGTATTAGTTCAAGTCAACATATACATTGTGATATTGTTGCACAATGTCAAAATCTTCTACTTCAAATATTTGGTTTAATTAGTTTTGATTACGATTTGGAAGCACTTGATCAAGACGATCCAAGCAAGAATGAGCTAACAAAGGCGCTACACGACTTCATGAGTGCATGTGAATTGGTTTTAGTTGCACCACGTATTTTAGGAGTTATGTATACAAAATTAAGTCGTCGACATCGACGAGCAAAATCTATTATTACACGATATATATATCAAATGATTGATAATGAAATGACTGCAAGTGAAGAATCTAGAGCACAACGAAAGAGGACATGTTTAATTGCTTCATTAATCGCTTCATTGCAAGAAGATGAAGAAATGGAAGCAAAAAAAAGTGAGAATGAGAAAAAAGGTAAACTCTCATTTATTAAGTTCATAAATTTCATTGTTTTAATTTCGTAAATAGGTCTCTCACGAGCAGAAGTATTACAAGAAATGTTAGCTTTTATGATTGCTGGTTTTGAAACAACATCTACTGCTTTAGCTTGGTTTATTCATTTTATGAGTAAATATCCACATGTACAACAAAAGATCAAAGAAGAATTGATAAAGACTGGTGGCGAACAAGATTTAACATTAAATCGACTTGATTCTTTAGTTTATTTGGATTGTGCTATTAATGAATCACTTCGTTATGCTCCACCTGCTGATGGAACTATGCGAACATTAATCGCTGATGATCGTCTTCCTGAATGTGGTATTCACTTACATAAAGGTGACAATATATTCATTCCATTTTATAATTTGGCACACGATGAACGATATTGGTCAATTGATCCTAAACTCTTTTATCCAGAAAGATTTTTAAATGAAGATAAAAATCATCATCTTTATGCATTGATCCCGTTTGGTAGTGGACATCGTCAGTGTATTGGACAAGATTTAGCTCGATTCGAACTAAAAGTCATTATAGCAAGAATGATGCAACAGGTAACATTTATTGATGGTGGACCAACAGTCAATTCAGGTGGACATATAACAAGTATGACTATTCTACCGAAAAATGTTGGTGTCGGTATCGAGTTCGCCTAATTCAAATACGTAGTTTTTTTATTCCATACATTGTAATAGATTTTGATTTAGAGAACATATTATTTAATAAACTAGTAAAAAATTTTTTATTCAATAGAAAATATTAATATATTGTTCATTGTTATTGAAGTGAAAAAATTACGGTAGAAGTTTGTAGTTTTTCTGTGGATTTAAATAACCTTTCCCCCTTTCAGGACTGGTGGCCACTATAATGGTCAGTGCTCGGAAAGCGCTTCAAATATCTAGATGTATACCATTTTCTATTCTGTTATTGTAACTGCTATTGCTCGAGTTAGCTATACGGAGGACCAATTCTGTTGAAAAGAATCGCGTTCCGAAAAGGTTAAGTGGATTAATAACAAACGCATAGTCTAAATGTGGATGTTCATTTTCATATCTATTATAATTATAAAAGCGAACAAATCGAATGTATCATGTTAATTCTATTTCATTTGTTCTTCCATATAAAGTTAGAGATCAAAAACGATTCGATTCGAAACTATCTTTAAGAAACAAGTTAATATAAACAAAATCAAAGTAAAAAAGAATCGATTGATCTAATATTTATTTAGTAGAACTATCATTTTATTGTGAATAATCAAAGTCACACAAACTCTAGTTTTATTAATAAAATACAATAGCACAAGAATGTATTCTCTATGTACATCATTTGATAGTATGTATTTAAATAATGATAAGACAAATGTAGTAAGACTGAATCATTTTATTTTATTTAAAAACAATATGTGTGAGGTTTCGTTCTGCCTAAGAACATCATCAGACACGTATAAGTGAAAGAAAAAGTTAGGTATTATATATACATATACTAGTATACATATGCTTTTCCAAATATTTTAAATACAAGGGAGAGAAAGATGAGTCATCTGTGTTCGAATGTTTGGATAAAACACATACATACTAGTTGAATAAAATAAAATGATTCATAGTCTTATTATATTTGTGTCTTATCATTATAATACACACGAATAGCTTTTATTTATTTATAGATTATTTATTGTGCTTTGTTACTCGAAAATGTTCTTTCATATAAACATGGCTACAGTTGGAAATGTTGACCCACTAAAATATACACGTGTATCGGATATTGTCAATGAACCACTGGAGATGCTCATGCCAATTGAAGGGTACGAAGAAATGCCAATAGTACCATTAAACGAAGCTGTTGCACCACTTCTTTCGATTTTACCTAAAATTCAAGATTATGCTGATATTGTGAAAAAACGATGTAAACTCATACCTCCAGATGGTTTAACACGGGATGAATCAGCTGCAATCATGCTTTACTCAATGGAATGGGAACCACATGAAGAATGTTTATCTTTTGCTCTCAATGCAGCTCTTCGCACTGAAGACAGGAAAGAATTAAAGCCATGGTTTTCGTATTTAAAACTTATTCTTACAGCACTTGAAAAATTACCATCCACACCGTCCAATGTGTTTCGTGGAATGAACTTAGATCTATCTAATCGATACAGTGTAAGAAAAACATTTGTCTGGTGGGGATTTTCTTCATGTACAACATCGATAGAGGTACTCGAAGAAGAACAAATTTTAGGCAAAATTGGTCAAAGAACAGTATTTACTATCGAATGTGACAGTGGCAAAGATATCAGTCGTCATTCGTATTATAAATCGAAAAAAAAAGTTCTTCTTCTGCCTGCTCGACAATTTATGGTAGTAGGTTGTTTTGAACAAGCACAAGGTCTTCATATAATTCAATTAAAAGAAACAAAACCTCCATTTACTCTTTTACAACCGGTTACAAATCAATCTGCACAAATTCAATCAACACCGGGTAAGAGAAAAAATTATTTTATCAGTTGAAATATTAAATACAGAACATTTTGGTAGAGAACTATTTACGAGTCATAAAATTATAATGCTAGTTCGTTTTTGACAGAGTAAATTTTCATTTACTAAAATTTTTTCAGATAATTATCAAGTAGTTTTTTCTATAAAGCATCACAATCGTTGAAATAAGATATAGACACTAGTGCGCATATGTTATACAATTGTTGTCGATGTGTTTTCTTTCTGAAGAAATTGTAATACTAGACGGAGCTGGAGCAGTACATGTTAAAACTGTATCAATCAGATTTTTAGATCTTGCTATTCCTGGTCAACCATCCCCTGACGAATCTTCAGGGGAGTCCCCAAGAAAATTCTAACAGGTGTGAGTGTAGTCAAAAGAGTATTTATCATCACGCACACCCAACTCTTTAGTTTAAAACTTTCAAATAAAAAATTATAACTTAGTAATAAAAAAAGAAGTTTTTCTTCTTATTTTCGCCCTTTCTTTGATTTAAAAATAATGAAAAAGATTTGAATAAAAAGAAGATCTTTTATTTTAGGACAAATTCAAACGAGAATGAATCATTATAATCAATATGCAATTACTGTTGCTGGAGGAAAAGGGGATGGACAACAATTAAATCAATTCAATAGTCCTGAAGGGATATTTATTGATACTAAAAGATTAATCTATATTGCTGATTCTGGAAATCATCGTATTATTAAAAGAAACTTGAGTTTAAATACTGATAAAATTATTGCAGGTGGAGATAAAAATAATCAATTGACTTTTTCAACCAATATAGTTTTTGATAAAAAAACTAATTCTTTTATTATTTCTGATAAGAGAAGCAAACGTGTAATTCGATATTTTAATAAAAGAAAAATAAATCAACAAATTATTATTTCAAATATTACTTGTCATGGTCTGGCAATCGATAAGAATGGATTTCTTTATGTTTCTGACTGTGAAAAACATGAAGTACGACGATGGAAACAACATGATAAAAAAGGTGAACTAGTTGCAGGTGGAAATGGAAAAGGAGATCATCCTAATCAACTCAATAATCCTCGTAATATCTTTGTTGATTATGATTACTCTCTTTATATATCAGATTATAAGAATCATCGTGTAATGAAATGGAAAAAAGGTGCAAAAGAAGGAATTATTGTTGCTGGCGGAAATGATTATGGAAATAGTCTCAATCAATTGTCGTATCCTCAAGGAGTGATTGTCGATCATGTGGGTCAAATCTATGTGGCAGATCGTGATAATGCTCGAGTAATGCGTTGGTGTGAAGAAGATGAAGAAGGTGAAATTGTTGTCGGTGGAAATGGTTGGGGAAGTCAATCAAATCAACTGGATTCGCCTCAAGGTTTATCATTTGATAAAGAAGAAAATCTTTATGTTGTTGATAAAAACAATCATCGAATCCAAAAATATGAAAAACTTTCGAATTAAAACTATTTTAATTTTATTTGATAAAATTTTGTTTTTTTATTTTTGAAAATAAATAAAAAAAAATTAATTTATGAAAAATCTTGACGAAATAAATATTTGTTAATTTTAATTCTAAAGTAAAAAACCAAAATGAATAAAATAATTCTGATAGAATTTTCGCTGAATGAACCAAACTAAAAGAATTTGAAATAAAATTGAATTAGAAAAAATTTAACTTTTATAGAAAAATAAAATAAAATATTTTTTCAAATTGAGACAAATATTTAAAATAATGAAAAAACCTTGTAAATATAAACAATCGGTGGGTGTGGATATTATATTGATCTCATATTTTCATCCACATCCTCCTCCAGGTGTTCATGTTTAATGTATATCTCTTGTATATTCATCTAACTTCATTCCACAAAAATATTAAGTAATCTTATTCTCTAATAAAAATGGAATTTATTATGTTTCATTGAATTTAAAATGTGAAAACTTGTCTTTCTATATATAATGTATGTTAAAACTATCCGAATGTTTGCTTTTTCACCACTTTTATCCTTCGTATTAATATATGTAATTCAGGATTTTTACTGTATCGTAGTATTTGAATAAAATAGAACAGAACTATTTTTATATTTCTTCATTTCTATCTGCGCATATATTCTATATGAAAATTGATAAGAGGCATATTTGACAATGGCGTAATATATTGAAGAATATACCAAGTAAGCAAAACAATTATACTTTTCAAAAACTACACAATCTATTTATTCATGTTTCGAATTACATTAAAATTCGATGATTTTATAAGTTTTACAAAGATTTCATACATCACAAAATAAAGATAAGTATAATGTAACAAAACTGAAATCGAGTTATATATTATTTGATCTATTTCTAAAAAATATTTATATTAGATTTCTTAACAATAATTGTTCTTTTTTTTTATATGTTTTTGAAGTCAACTCAAAATCATAATTAACTTTTGTCTAAGTATTATACAATCAAATATAAGATTTTTTTTTCAGAAGAGGGTGTGGGTGTGGGTGTGGATGTGGGTATTTCATCCCCACATATACTTACCCACACCCACACCCTCTGTTTTTTCCTACATTTTGTGAGAAATCCTTAAGATTTTAACTTCACAACCTTATAAATGAAAGCAAAAGTATTATTGAGGGTAAGAATCAGCATTAGGACGAAGATGATAGCAAGGGGACGAAGATAGAGCTGACGAGCATGAGAATAAGGGTGTAGGCGATCGCCTGACCTTCATCCTGACTATGCGTTCATTGTGACCATTATTGTCACTCTCATTCTCAATGTCTAGATCGTGTAAGTTAAAATGTTAAGGATTTCTCACAAACTGTAGGAGAAAACACAATAATTTTAATTTGCCCTAGATTTTAATTTCCCCTATAGCATTTATATTGAAAGTTAAAATAAATTAGATTAATTTTGTTTTTTGTTATAGAAATATTGTCATTCTATTATAATCAATTAATTAGTTATTAAAAATGAAATTTAATTTAACAAATAATATCTTAATTTCATCTATAGAATTTGTGATGTATGGGCATAGATTGTTATCGTTCTTTTTGTTTTAGTTTGTTTTTTCCTTTCTGTACATGGGGTTAGTATATATATTTCACATATATGTTTCTTTCGTTCTCTTGTATTCACTAGGATTATTCCAAGAGGGAATAATCCCGTTTAAAATATTCCTTCTTCTACATATGTTCCATGATATATATAGATGTGTGTGAAGTAGTATATTGGACAACAAAGTATCATTCGACACTCACACTTCAGGACGTGACAGAATTTATTCTGAATACTTATCCATATTACAAGTCTTTATTTCCTTTGAAAGTAAATCAAAATTTCAAATCATTTTCTCAATTATTTATTCAATATTTCATATTTTTTTTATTCAATTAGAAATTATTTATCTAACTTGAGCGTGTGAGCATATTCAAAAGAATATTTAGCATCACACATACCCACACCTACACCCTCAATAACAACAAATCAAATAACAACTCAATCTCAAATAGGACAAAGTATGTTTTATTAAATAAAAAATAGTTTTATTATTTCTAAAATTAAGATAGAACTTTTTCATAGATTATTTTTATTATTTAAGTAACAATTTCAATTAATTTTCCAAATCATATTATTCTTTTGAAAATGAAAATCAATCAGATTAATTTTATTTCTTTGTCATAAACAATATTTTCAAATTTTTTTTGATATTCTAATTAATTAAATAATTGATTATTTAACAAAAAAAATCTAGTTCACAAATAATATCATCATTTCATCTATAGAATTTATTCAAAATATTTATTTATGTTAGTAAGAATAATTCGATTAAATATTTTCAATTCATTTTTTAATTTAAGTATTTATTCTATTCACTATTTTCTATAAAATCATTACTTTTTACTTTTTGGTTTTTTAAAAGAGTTATTCTAATAGAAAATTCAAATCTAAACAAATCTCTGAGGATAAATAGAATTTTTATATTTTTTTCATCTGAAAAATGTCTTTTATTATTTTAATGAAAAGATTATCTTGTTTTTAAATTTTTGGATACATTTAGGTTAAGTTTAACTCTTTAGTTTAAAATCGTTGAAAGAAAAACGATTTCCATTTGAAAAAAAGATTTTCCTGAATTAAACTTTGATGAGAATCAATTAGAGAATTTTGAAAAAAAAAGTCTCAATTGCAAGAAAAAATTATTTGAAATTGATTTTGTTCGACTAAAAATTAAATTTAACAAAAAGAAAATATTATTTTATTAAAATAAATTCAAATACAAGTTTTTCTTCTTATTTTAGAACAAATGAAAACAAAAAAGAATCAGTTTCAACGATTTGGAATTACTGTTGCTGGAGGAAATGGATGGGGTCTTATTAAACCAGTATTAAATCAATTCTCTATTCCTCATGGGATCTTTATTGATAGTGATAAATCAATGTATATTTCTGATTGTCATAATCATCGCATTGTTAAATGGAAATTGAATTCAGATACTGGTGAAGTCATTGCAGGTAGAAATGGATTTGGAGATCAAAATGATCAATTGTATTGGCCAAAAACTATAATTTATGATAAAGAAAATAATTCTTTTATTATTTCTGAATGGGGAAACAACCGAGTAATTCGATATTTTGATAATAATCAAACAAATCCACAAATTATTATTTCAAATATTACTTGTCATGGTCTGGCAATCGACAAAAATGGATTTCTTTATGTTTGTGATTGGAAGAATCATGGAGTAAGACGATGGAAACAAGGAGATACAGAAGGTGAACTAGTTGCAGGTGGAAATGGTGAAGGAAATCATCTTAATCAACTTAATAATCCTCGTAATATTGTTATTGATGAAGACTATTCTCTTTATATATCAGATACTTCGAATCATCGTGTAATGAAATGGAAAAAAGATGCAAAAGAAGGAATTATTGTTGCTGGTGGAAATGGTCAAGGAAATAGTCTCAAACAACTGTCTTCTCCTTATGGAGTGATTGTTGATCATTTAGGTCAAATCTATGTGGCAGATTCTCGGAATAATCGAGTAATGCGTTGGTGTGAAGGAGATGAAGAAGGTGAAATTGTTGCAGGTGGAAATGGTGAAGGAAGTGAATCAAGTCAATTGAATTATCCCAAAGGTTTATCATTTGATGATGAAGAAAATCTTTATGTTGTTGATTCTTGGAATCATCGAATCCAAAAATATGAAAAACTTGAAATTTAAAATATTTTTGGTTTACTTTGATGAAGTTTTTATTTTTATTTTTGAAAATAAATAAAAAACATTTGTTCATGAAAAATCTTCAACAAAAATAAATGAAAATAAATTAATATTATTTAATTTTAGTTTTGAATTACAAAATCAAAATAAATAAAATAATTCTGATAGAATTTTTGTGGAATGAATCAAATTAGAAGATTTTGAAAGAAAATCTAAGTAGAAAAGGTTTAATTTTTATAGAAAAATAAAATAAAAAATATTTTTCAAATTGACAAAAATATTTAAAATACTAACAAAACTTGTAAATAGAAACAAATTGTTTTTTTGTTCGGTTTATTTTTGTGATTTTATGATTTATTGAGAGAAAGGGAAGAGAGAAAATAAAAAAGATAAATCAAGAAAATAAATTTGTTGAAATCGAAAATTAGATTAAGAAAATCTATTTGCTTAAAGAAGAAATTAGTTTTGCGTTTAAATATTAAAAATAAAAGAATATAATTCATTAAAATAAAAATAAACAAAAGCAAATTTGTTTTGCTTTATTAAAAATCAAAATTGTAGGAAAAAAATAAAATCGAAATTTCAATCTTTTAATAAACAATTTCTTGTTCTTCAGTGTTCAACCAACAAACGAATACAAATCACACGAATTAGTTATTTTATTTTATTGACTGAACTTCTTTTCTTTGAGAAATAATTGTCAACTCATTGAAAAACAACACATATTCATCCTAGAATTTTGAAGATGAACAAATTATGAATATAAAAATGAATGTGAATCAGTTCATCGACAGATTTCGATCATTGCTTCTTTTATTAGTAAAACATTCAAACTTGATAATTTAATTTATGAACTAAAGCGTGTGTGGGTGTCGATATAAGTTAAAGATCGCACGCACACCCACATCCTCAAGACGACATACTCTCTGGTTCAGAGACTTCTAAAATAGAGATGGAGTCAAAGTGGAGTGGATTGCATAGCAACGATTGCCCATCTTCGGCATGTAACGCGAGACATGTTGTGGTCATAGATGAAAACATTTCAAGCACGTCCTTGTCATTTTCTAATATGTCAACTTTTCAACATGTAAGATTTTCTAGCAACACCGAGTACTAACGCTATGCTAAATAAGAAAAGTTAGAAGATTTAAGCACATTTTGTAATATTACAGACCGATAATTCATATAGGAGGACTATAGCGATGTCTTTTTCTCATCTACCACACATGCATTATCCAATTTTTTTGGATCAACATCGAGTACTCACGTTAGTTTTATAATTTTTATATATACAAAAAATCCTTCTCACAACATTTAACATTGAAAAAATGCCATTATTTCATTTGAAAGGAAATTAGTCAAAAGAAAATATTTTAAACAATAGATAAAGCGCACAATATTCATTTGTTCTCATAATTATCTGCAATAATCAATAAACTTCTGCGTCACCAATGACTAACACTATGTTATTAGATAAAATATTTGCTCAATGTTGTAATCTACTACAGTGTATATCGGCAAATATAGACCAACATCTCCGTTAATGGATCATATAAGTCAACATTCTTTAAATATCCCTTTGCATGATATTGTTCACCAACTACTAAAGCATTCCCATCATTCAACAAGGATGCACTATGATACATTCTTTTCATACTTGATTAGTTGCTGCTATTTTCAAAAATATGATTAATATTGTACTACTTTGTTTTTTTCTTAAAACGCTCATCGTAGAAATAACATCAAGATTAATCTACAACAATCGTTTTTTCTCTTCTAAACCAAGTTCTACTAGTTTACCTTTTTTAAAATATGAACTCATCATAAAGAACTACTTCATTGATTTGTATTTGTCTCCATAATCAAAGATGTTAGATACCTTTAGTTAACGTTAATCTGTCAAATGTATATTCTGCTTAGTTTTAGCTACAAAGAAATGAATAAAATTAGTATCTGTTATATTTTTTTGTATTTTCATTGATTAAGAAAAAGCAGTATTCATATGACTTGCATTTCAACAAATACTTTATATCGTAAGAGTATCCTCATTGACGTCAGTTGTTGATAAAGCTTTTTAGAAAATGTGAAATCACTCAACGATATTTTTCTTTATTCCGGTAATGAATAGAAGTGCAGGAGATAATTTATTTTTTTTACAAAGAGAAAAACAACATTGATTTTTTGAGCTGATGATTATTTGATAGCTTGGCTTTGCTGTTAACGAGAGGACTAATTTTCTTAAAAAAGACAAAGTATTTTTTTCAAACAAGAATTGAATTATTCAAGGTGAGTTTTGATAAAATTTTCATCTTTGGTCAATGAATTTAGTTATTGATGACTATAGTTAATTGTCAAAGATTGAAACGAGTCAAAATACTTCAATTCGACTAGATATACATCCAAGAAAATATCTGACTCAGTTCAATTCGTTTTCAATCTCTGATGCAGAACCTACTTAAATCAAAACTAGATTTTATTTCAAAATATTAATATTTTCGGTATATTTACTCTCTATGTAAATAGAATACAAAACAGTTGCAAAAACTACCAATGCTACTTATTATTATTATTATTATAAACAAAATCGAAAGTTTTATATAAATGACCACTAATATTGAATAAATAAAAAGATTTATCAATATTCGAAGATATTTGATAGATCTTTCAAAATCTTTAGAAAATCTATATATAAATTGATGTACGTAAGCTAATAGATGGTTCAGAATACATGGATATACTGTTTAGAATTAACATGAATCGAAATTAATTAAAATACAAAATCTTTATCTCTATTTATATTCTTTTTTTTAAACATTAACGGGAAATTAATTAATTATGAAACTCTTATGATATAAAAACATTATGCGACTTAAGTATATTAAATACAAAGTTCAATTACGAGTTTTCATTCTATATTTTTCAGAAAAAAAGAATGTAGATATGAGTATGGATAGATGTGCATGACTATACTGTTTAAACTCGTTTTTTAATTATTTTACCAATTCAGTTATATGCTTCAAAAAGTTTAAGAAATTTCTACACAGCTCTCAGGATGATTCATGTAAAATTGTGTAAAATATATTTTTCTTTTGATATAAATTAGTCTTGTGATTTAGATACAAGTAATGCGTTTGTTTTGATGGACTCTGTTTGGCTCAATTTAAGAGAAAATGAAAATGGCATGAACTCTTAGCTAATATATCCTAAATCACAATTTTAAAGACGGTAATATAAATTCAACGAAAGTTATCCTACTGATTCAACCGGCAACCTTGTTCTAATCTGACTGACTGATTTTCTAGTACTGAAAACTCTATTTGTTCAATCCTGAGTCTAAAACATCCTTTTTTTCTGTTTATTGTACTCAGTTTTTCTGAGTAGGGAGTAATTAGCAAGAAAAACTTTGACGATAAAAATCTAGATGCAGGAGGTACTAACCTGATGATGATAAGCCATCGTGTAGGTGGGGTGTGACTATAGGTACGAGAGCATCATGATCAACTGGCAATCACACCCACAGCCACACCCTCGAGATTTTAATTATTTATGATTTAATATTTAAAATTGATTAAATTTCTAATATATGAAATGTTTTATTTTATAATTTCAAGTAAAATTAATTCGAAATACTAGTTCAGCTCATTAATCAATTAAAAATGGTATGGGCGTGGATATGACAGTACCATAATCAACTAACACCCAGACTCAAATCCCTTAAGATGGTTTAAATTTATCTTTCATATATACAATTAAGAAGTTAACAGGTAAAAATCTTTTAAAATCGATTTTTTTACGTCTTTTCTAATATGGGTATCGATAGAAAAGTTCTCGCATAAATCAATTGAGTATTTTAAAAATATTAGAAAAAACTGATATTAAGAAGAAAACGATGCAGGGTAGAAACAGTTGATATAAAAGAGAACATAACAATAAAGGAAAAAAACGATTGGAGTAAAATAATGAATCGATATGAAAGAATAACAAAAACCAATAAGCAAGTATACAGGAAAGAAAGGAAGTGTTTATGTACACACATGTGCACGTAGCTAGTCGGTTATGTACACATATATCTACAGGTAACAGCTATTCACACATAGGTAGGCATAATCATCTTATTATTTTATACGTATTTCTTCATTAATATAAACTAAATGTCTTATCTTTTGAATTATTTTATTTTATTTATAGCTATGTATTATGTTGTATATTAATATAAAATTCATAATGTAATTGAGTGGATTTTTGATTCATCTTTTATATACCTTCTAATAGAATTACTATGATGAGATACATATATTATATTTCGGTATTGCAGACGACCTAAGAATTCTTTCATTATATTTCGTCGATGAATGTTTAACATTTACTGGTTGATAATATTCAGTGAATAGAGAAATGAAAAAAATTGCATTAAAATGATGAAACAGACATTATTTTTTTATGTATTTTAATTATTGAGAATGAAATATGTCGAAAATATTGTCCATATCATCATACGAGATGCCTTTTTTCTTTGTGTTTTTCATACACCAAAGTCACCATTTTTTTATTCCGTGAGTAGATAATGAATCAATTTTCAAATTCTTCCTTCGTAAAGAAAAAATGTTTATCTTAATTCATTTTACTGGATGAAGAACTACGATGAGCACGAATAAATCCTTAAACTTAAGTATACTAGCAAAATGACGTTTGTTGTGTAGTAGACATCGAGAATGAATATAATAGACTATTTACTAGTATACTATTATTCATTTAGTACTATAAATGAGATTATATTAAAACAGTCCATTTGATTATTCAACATTTTATTGAAAAAAATTCATAAAAAATTTTCTTTTTTCTTATCTTATCTAAAAATAAAAATAAATTATAAAACTTAATTCATTTGAAAATAAAAACAAATTTCTAATATTTTCATTGATTATTTTAGACAAAATATAAAGAACATAACAGTGTAATGAATCGTTTTAGTGATATTGATTGTTCATTTAAAAGATTAACACCTGTTTATGGGTTTCGTGTTGCAAAACTTGTTTCAATTGAAGAAGCATTACAATCAGTTCAATCTCAAATTGATGAATTACCATATTTTATTAAAATAGCAAAAAAACATTGTCATTATCCATCAGAACATGGTTTAACACATGATGAATCAGCATCAATTTATATTTATACAATGGAATGGGGTGAACAAACTTTATATCGGGTTTTAAATCAAGCTTTGAGAAATGAAAATAGAGATGTATTAAAAGTATGGTTTCCTTATATCAAACTATTTGATACAGCACTGAATAAATTACCAACTGCAAAAGAGGTTGTATGGAGAGGTATTACTGCAGATATTGGAAAAAACTTTACTAAAAATCAAATAATAACATGGTGGAGTATTAATTCATGTTCATCATCAGTTAATGTTATTAAAAAATTTCTTGGAAAAGAAAAGAATTCTACAATGTTTTTAATTGAAGCATTGAATGGAAAAAAAGTATCTAGTTATACACAATTTGAAAGTGAAGATGAAATCATTTTAAGATTGGGAACAGAATTTCGTGTAAAAAGTAATGCATTAGATCATCCAAATGGATCATATCTTGTTCATTTAATTGAAATTGATGATGATGATAATAATCATACAGCATTAGCATCCTCAATCAATCAAATGCAGTTAACAATAACAAATCAAATCAGTTCAAGTAAGTTTATTTCAATTTAGATTTTCTTTCAGAATTGAAATCTTCTGTTTCAATTCAGAAAATGAATCTTTTTTCCTTTTTCATCCATAAAATTATAACAAACTTGTTGGATACTTTATTCAGGTTTTTTTAAAGATGGATAACATCGTTTTTTCATTCGATTTGGATTGTTTTTTTCACTAAGATTTTTCTTTCTTTTCAAGTGAAAATGAAAACTGAAAGACATTAAACTGATCTTCACTTTTGTTATAAGATAATTCTCTTGAGATAATAGTATTTCTTGTCAAGAAAAGATCGTCAAAATGAAAGATTCCCTTTATAGCACAATAGATAATGCTATAAGATTTTTATGAACTCATCAATAGATTTTTCTTCTCTTAGAACTATTGAGGTTTTTATGATAAGAATATTGTAAATTGAATAGTAATTAGAGATTAGAAAAGAACAATCCAATAAAACAATAATTATCCTCAACCACCCACAACCTTAATTTATTTGTTTAAATAAAATTCTTTTATTAATTTCTACAAAGACAAACGATGAAAGGAAGAAATTTCTATTCATTTTTCATTTCAAAACGTTTTTTGTATCGACTGAAATCTTCTTAAATTCGTCTTGAAAGGTGGGTGTAGATATTCAACTTCACTCTCACCCTCATCCACAGTCCCCTTAAAATTTAATTCGATATATATGTAAAATGGTTCGTCCTAAGAAAACTCGATTGATAATAAAAATTTCTTAGAATAAAATTCTAAAGTTTTATTATTTGATATTGTTCATGATTCTATAATTATAAATATTAAATTCATCTAATGGATTTATCATCTGAAGTATTTTATTCGATTTTCTCCTCATCCAACTTACATATTTTGTTATTATTTTAATTTCATTCATCAATTTCAACTTGGAAATTTTTTCATATAAGAAAATTTTTCCGGAAATATGATTAACTGAATATAATAAAAGATTCTTTACTCATTAAAATCAATATTCATAAATTATTCAATTAATAAATAAGAGATTTTACTTAAAAACTCTTCAGTTTTAGAATATTTTTATTAAACAAACATTTGAAACTTTGAGAGAAAATTAAGGAAAGTTTAGAGGACTCTTTACAGATCAGAGGAGTTTTTCAGATAATCTTTTATAGAGACTTATACAAACATGAGTATTATAGTAGAAAGCTTCTGAAGGGGCTTGTTTGGTATAATATAATAGAAGATATTAACTCTTTTATTACAAAAGAGAAGAGATTGTACAGAATGACTTTAATTGACAACAATTCATATAGACTGTACGTTATCGATAGGCTTAGGTTCTTTGTAATAGATCACACTAATACAATGAATGAGTTTTTCATGATTATTTCTTCTGTTAACAATCATAAATTGTGATGATGATGATCGAAAACGAACATGATCTCAACAATCTCTAAATGAGATTGAAAATGTTTTCTGTTAATTTCTGTTTAATAAATTATTTGAATTAAAACAAATTGAAGAATAAAAAGACAAAAGAAATAAAATAAGAATTGTAACAGAGACAAGGAGAAAATTCTCAGTCGAAAGAAATAAAATAAAATTAATTTTTATTAAATTAAAAAAAAAGCAAATCAGACAAATTCATTCTACAAAAAAAGAAACTTTCATTTTGAATAAAAAAACGAATTTTCTCTTGGACAAGGAATTTCAATATGATATATACTTTTATTGATAAATCTCGAAATAATTCCTTTTTCTTTCAAATTTTTATTTGGCAAAAAAATAGTCAACCAAATCTTTTCAAATTAAATCTTTGCCAATTTGTTTCACAGATAAATTGTTTTTCAATAAAAATTTATTTTTTTCCAAAATTTTCATTCGACAAAATATAAATTTCAAATTCTTTTCTCTTCTTAAAACAAAATACTTAATCATTTCATTTTAAGAAATTCTATTCAAAATAAATCTTTGCTTTTTTCTTCGATCAAAAACAAGTTTTCTTCTTTTTACTAAAATGTTTTGTTTTCATCGTTTTCTAGAATCAAAATTCAAGAAATGGAAAGAAAATGCCATCACTGTGGCTGGTGGAAATGGAGAAGGACAAAGATTAAATAAACTCAATTACCCTTATGGAATCTTTATTGATAAAAACAAAAACATTTTCATTGCTGATCATTGGAATCATCGTATAGTTGAATGGAAATATACTGCAAAAGTAGGACAAATCATTGCAGGTGGAAATAAAGAAGGAAATCGAATGAATCAACTAAATAGACCAAGAGATGTGATTGTTGATCAACAAAATCATTCGATCATCATTACTGATGTTGGGAACAGACGAGTGATTCAATGGGTGAATCAAAATCAACAAATTCTCATTCACAATATTAAATGTTCTGGCTTAGCAATGGATAAAAATAGATTTCTTTATGTTTCTGATAGTGTGAAGAATGAAGTGAGACGATGGAAAATGGGTGAATATAACAATGAAGGAATTGTAGTGGCTGGTGGAAATGGACAAGGAAATCATCTCAAACAACTCCGTACTCCAGGTTCTATTTTTGTTGATGCAGATCAATCTATTTATGTATTAGATAGACAGAATCATCGTGTGATGAAATGGAGAAAAGATGCAGAAGAAGGAACAATTGTGGCTGGAGGAAATGGTGAAGGAAGAAATCTTAATCAATTGTCTTCACCTCAAGGAGTGATTGTTGATGATTTAGGTCAAATCTATGTGGCAGATAGTGTGAATCATCGAGTAATGCGTTGGTGTGAAGGAAAAGAAGAAGGTGAAATTATTGTTGGTGGAAATGGTCAAGGAAATCAATCAAATCAACTAAATGGTCCTTGTGGTTTATCTTTTGATGATGAAGGAAATCTTTATGTTGTTGATTGTCTGAATTGTCGAATTCAAAAATTTTGTGAATGAAATTTTGATTTTGAGAAAAAGAAAACAATTTTTATTGAATAAAAAACGAAGAAAAGTCTTTTGGGACTTTTTTCTTCAAAATTGAATTTAATTTCATAATTTTCAAGAAAAAAGTCCAAAAAATAAACGTTAAATTCTTCATCACTTGTTGGATTTTGCGGAAGAAAAGAAGAAAAAATATATTGTACTTTGAATATTTTTATTTGATGAAAGTAATTAAATGTTTTTAGCTTTTTCATTTGATTAGATTTGAAAATTGTTCGAACATGAAGATAAAAGGAATCTTTTATGAAAACTTGAAAATAAAAATCGAATTCAAAATGAGTCTTGTTAAACAAAACAAATATCGAAAAGATTTTCGCATAAATGAAAATAAAAAAAATCGAAAGAAAAATGTTTTTTCTTTTTTCAAAATTGAACATGTTTTTCTTCATTGAAATTTGATAAAAATGAAAATCATTTGAAGGGTGTTTTTATTACTTCTTAATTCATACTGACCAATTCAAAGTGGAATTTCTTAAGAGAAACATCACATTAGAATAATTAAAAAAATGATCAAATAAATAGTTTAAAATATTTTTATGAATAAGAAAAAATATTTGTTATGAGATAAACATTAGTTGAAATTGATAAAGATTTAATAAAAACGGTAAAATTTCATGATGAAATCAATCTTTTAAATATTTTCAGATTCATTTGTCAATAGTACATTTAGCTGCGGGAAAATATGAAAATATTTTTTAGATGAATTTTTGTTAAATTGAAATATTTTTATGAAGAAATTGAAATTAAATTATCCTCAATGATTATTTATTAATATAAATTTATCTGAAAATAATTTATTTTTAGTCAAAATCATATATTTCTCTATAAATTTAATGATAATAATAATTCATGAACAGATAAATATTATTTATTATTTTATAGAATTGTAAATATAGATCATAATTTGAATAAAAATATTCAAAAGATGAATTTGTATGAATGATGATTTAATGTTATTGTTCAAAATTAAAAGATAATTAAATTGATTAATTAGACAATTCTTATGTAATAACAAAAATAATTGGAATAATATTAAAGAAAAGAGATATAAATTATTTAAGATATATTTTTTGAAAATTTACGAAAAACTAAAATTCAATTATATCTTTTAGATAGAATAAAAAGTAAAAGAACAATTAATATTTACTTTCTTTATCTAATAAATTTTAAATTAATAAGTTTATCGAGAAGAATATATATTGATTATATCTGAAAGAATCTATACAATAATCAATTTATTTATTGTTTTTATTAAATTATGTCTGAAAGAAAAAAACAATTTTCATGTGTGAAAAATTCATTGAGAAATTATAGAATCTCTATTTGACTAAATAAAATTCAATTTTAATTATTACTTCAATTGAAAAACCATTCGTTCGAAATTATACAATATTAAATAATATTTTCATCTACAAGACATTAGTTAAACAATTATTGATTTTTTAAAATAAAAAGAAATTCAATTAGATTTTAACAAAATTCTTAGAGAAAAACTTTCAAAATATCAAAGATTAATTTACCATCTTACTGGACATATACATATAAATATTTATATAATAGTCGTTTAAATTTATTTAGAAAAAATTTTATATCAAAACTTGTATGGAATTTCTATGAAAAAATTCATTTGAAATAATAAATCATTTTTTAAAATATACTTTATGATGAGAAATAGTTTTGTTATGTCAAGTTTTTTTGTTTTGATTATAAAAAAATCATTAATTTCAATCATCACAGATATTTGGTATTATCGTTTTTCCAGATCTTTTTATACCGAATCTTTTAAGAGAAAAAATCAAACTTCTATTCTGAGATATGTAAATACATTTTGAAATATCCGACTCTATGCAATACTTTCGTTTTTATGATTAAATATGATTATATCTTATACTTATTTCGATATAGTTTTTCTTTTTTCAATTAAATTTTTATATTTCCAATTTCATCAATTTACAAAACTAAATTATTAAAAATATTATTTTCAGTTAAAATTATTTCTAACGTTCCAAAATATTATTTTTCTTCATTTTGTTTCATTATGAAGCACGAAAAATCCATTAGGTCAAAAATAAAAATGTGTTTTTTTCTTCTGTTCTTCACTTGAAATGCTTTGTCACATTTCTTTTTTTTAAAAATCAAATGTCTAGTTGGAAAAAAACACACGAAACAAAATGTTCGTTCTTTTACGAAACAGTCAGTAGAGTTTATTCACCGAAAAAGGAATTCAAATTGAGACATAAGAATGAATTCTTATTTTATATCGGAATAATTATACAAAACATCACAAGTTTAGAAAATTCAATTGTTTGAAATAGTTTCATTTTGGTAAGTTTATTTTTGAAATAATATGAAAAATGAGTATAGAGAATATCATAGAACAATTATATTGTCGCTTATTACAAACTTACCAAGAGATGACAGAAAATAATAATCAAGAAATAGAATGTCAACGTATTGTTATCATTCCAGGTATGGGATGTACACCTGTACGAAAATGTAATTGGTATGCATGGCTTGAAAGAAAACTTTGGAATGATTCATCTGAAAAATTTACAGTTATTCTTGAAGATATGCCAGATCCTCATAAAGCTCGTGAATCTTATTGGTTACCATTTATTCGAGATGCACTTAAAATTGATGAAAAAACAATATTAATTGGACACAGTTCAGGATGTGAAGCTATTATGAGATTATTAGAAAAAGATAAAGTACGTGGTGTAATACTTGTAGCAGCTTGTCATACTGATTTAGGTGATGAAGGAGAAAAAGAAAGTGAATACTACAATCGACCATGGGATTGGGATACTATAAAATCTAATGCAGAATGGATTGTTCAATTATATTCACCTAGTGATCATCTTATTCCAGTAGCTGAAGGACGTTTTGTTGCTGATAAATTACAATCGGAATATATGGAATTAGAAAAACGTGGTCATTTTATGGAACATCAGTTACCTGAAGTATTGAAAGTGATAAAACAAAAATGTCATGTTTAATATTTTAAAGTAAAAAAAACATGATGCACGGTGGTGATAGTCATTTTTATTAACAATTATCTCGAGAATAAAGATAAAATTGAATGAAAGTGAAGATGATGATATAGTTAAATAACAGATAGACATACAATTATATTCATCTTTTCACACTATGAGCCTCCTAACTCAATGTTGACATTTGTGCTCAAGTCAGAGTTTCGATGAACTATGATTTGTTTTAAATATGAGAAAAGTTTTTTTTTGAAATAATATAAACAATTGAGATAGACAACAAATGTATATCGATGAATAATAGTCCTGTATCACCCATGAACTAAAGTTTGAGTGAAGATTTGTGATTTTTATAAGAATTCAGTTCTTTTTATTTAATTGTTATAAAAAAAACTCGCGTTAAATATCGGGAATGTATGACTGAAAAACAATAATGATCGGAAAAAGTCGAACTTACTTATCGGAATTTATTTTAAATAAGTGAATCATTATAAACTGAGATGGTTACAGACGCAGATGGTTTAAATGTGGTTATTCTATGTCACCCACATCCTCAGCCTCAACCTCATCTTGATTACTACCTACTACTGACTTATGAAATCATTTTCTTCTCTTCGTACGAGAGTGACAATATATTTTTCTGAAAAAGAAAATGTAATAATGAGCAGAAAAAATATTCCTTACGATATTAAGAATTTAAGAACGATGGTAGACAAGTTTCTTTTGCATAAAAGACTAAAGTAAGAAGTAATACATTTTCTTTAGGAAGGAGAGCAAGAAAAACACGTCTGCCTATAAGAATACAGGATTGATGATAGACAAGTTTTTTTTCTGGGAAAGAGTCTGAGGATGAGAATGAATAAGTTTTTTTCTGGAAGGAGAATGCAGAAATGAGTAAAAAAAAATTCTTCCAACAAGAAGAATATAGTTATGATGATAGACAAGTTTTTTTCCAAGAAAAAAGTGTAACAACACAAACAAAAAACAATTTTTTCAGGAGGTAGAATGTAGAAATGACGGTAAGTTGTGTTCGTAGAAAATGCCTGCGTGTTTTACTCACTTCCTACAACCAAAAATACAAGATACTCTGAAAGGATCTTCGTCAAATTCTCAAGGATATAGAACAGAGATACCAATGAGTTGCTATATGACATACGACTCATTTTTTAAATTGATTTGACTCTTCGCATCATACACATTTTGACATTATTATTAATAGCTGGATAAAAAAGAGTTCAATTTGAAGCATAATTTGCTTGATTCATCACGTTACGATAGCTGGGATGTTCATGTAGATTATTTCCACTTATAAGAAATTAAAGACTCGAAATTGATTGGGAAATCTTTTTAAGTCAGGTAAGTTACCTTTTTTTGCATATATGTTCGCTCTTTCCTATGACTCAACCGTATTCTAGTAGATCTTAAAAAACTGAGTATTATATCCACATAAGCTTTCAAAAAACTACAACTAGTACGTCCATGTAGACCTTGAAAGATTATCGTGTTGATGGAAGGAGGGCAGAAAGTAGGTTGGATGATGGCAAAGTAAGAACTGTAGTGAGATCAGCTAGATTTTGTTCTATATGAAGTGAGCCACATTTCTTTGACTGACATGTCTGACTTGCTTTCCATCACCCACATTCACTCATTTTAGTTGGCAACCACCAGAATTAGTTATCATTTCAGTTGGTAATGATTTAATCATTTTAAATAACTTGTTATAGATAGAATCGATTGTTTTTCGGTCATAAATTCCTTTTGATGAAAATGGCATATACTTATGCTGCATCTGAATCGAACATACCGAACTAAAATGCTTCGGCTTATTGAAACAACTGTATTGAAAGAAATAGATAAAAGATTTCTCTTTTTCTTATCTTATCTACAAATATAAATGAATCATGATATATAATTCATTTTAAGAAAGAAAACAAATTTCTAATATTTTCATTAATTATTTTAGGGTGTGGATATCTCTTGTTTACCGACACTCACTCATTTCTATTTGTGTGTAGTATAAAATAAGTCGACTTGACTTAGCAATACTCTTTTATTTTCATATTTGCATCAATAATATTATCTCGTTAACTCTATAAATCTTGTCCGATTAACTTTCAGATACATATCTGTCGTCTATTACTCATATCTAAATTAGGTGTTCGTGCTCACTATGGCAACAGGTGACGAAGATGAATATTTAGCTCAACGTGTTCTACGCTTGACTGACATTCCAAAGGAACCTATGAATTTTCTTATGCCCATCAGCGGTTACGAAGAAATGCCCATTGTTTCACTTGAAGAAGCAGTTGAACCACTCGTACCTATACTACCAACAGTGAAAAGTTATGCACGAGCGGCCAAAAAACAATGTAAGAAGCCGGCTGATAATTTGACACAAGATGAATCAGCTTCGATCATGCTCTATTCGATGGGATGGGAGCCATTGGATAAATGCCTTTATTGCGCTTTGAATGCTACTCTACGATCGAAAAATCGATCAAATCTTAAACCATGGTTTCTCTTTCTTCGCCTTTTTCTTGGAGCATTATTTCGTCTTCCACCGATTCCTCACCTAACGGTATTTCGAGGCGTCAAATTAGATTTAAGCAAACAATTTGAAGAAGACGAAACGTTCATATGGTGGGGCTTTTCTTCCTGTACAACTTCCATCAAAGTTCTCCAATCAGAACAATTCTTAGGCATGGAAGGTACAAGAACAATGTTTACTATTCATTGCAATTCAGCTAGAGATATTCGAAAACATTCGTATTTCCCATCTGAAGACGAAGTACTATTACTTGCTGGCACCGAATTTCAAGTGAAAGGTATTCTCAATCAAGGTCACGGTCTTCGAACTATTCAGTTGCAAGAAGTTCAGTCCGATGAACCAATGCTCATCCCAGTGCCAAGTACAAATGACTCTGTTGATTTATCTGCCGGAAAACTGAAAAGTTTGAAAGTGAAAGATGATGTTACTGAATCAAAGATCATATCAAAACAATCAGCGTCGATCCCAAAACTGAAAGTCGGTGCATCTGGTAAGATTGTTTCACAGTGTGGTATGTTAGCAAATAGAATACGTTGCCAGTGTTAATTAAAGATCAACTAAGGGGCTATGACTCATCCTTTCAGGATCTAGATTTATAGTACAATATTTTTTTATCATGATCATGTTATCTTCATTTTGTTGTTCTTTGTTAGTATCATCAATTATAGTGCTCTTTCATTTAAACACATATGTGGAAACTCGGAAACTAAATTATGATAGCTGATCTCACTGTATTTTGAAAACGACATCTCGATATTTAAAAGAGCTGATTCTGACTAAAATATCTGTTTATTATGTGTAAACTTTGTTTCAAAACAAAAAATAATTGAAAATGACTTCTAAATATAAACATCATCAGAACGCTATTTTTTCTAGACAAATAAAAAGGATTTTAATGATTTCTATAGAGTTCATCGTGAGGGTGAGGGTGTAGGTGTTCTTCTTTGTCATTACCCACACCCACACCATCAAGATGACAATCATGAGTTGTAGTGATCATGATTAAAAAAAGATGATCTCAACAATTTCTAGGAGCCAATGCATGAGAAGGACAACCGATTTCCCAATATGGGTGCTCAATGATGGTAACGAATCTAAATGGACGTATGACCATGTTGTAGAGATAATTTTTTGAAGTCATAAACCTAAATTTTTAGCTTTGTCACACGCTGCCTAGTGGGAATACGCACATTCCGCTAACGAAGTTTCAACCAAGCAAGTGCTTAGAAGGCAAACAGTAAACTTTGTGATTGTATGCAAATATCTCGCCTCTTCACCGCCAATTTTATTCGCTGACAAGTGAAAGAATGCGACACACTTAGAATTTTGGATTTACTTCTCAAAACCCATCTGCATTCTCAATAACGCTTAGAATAATCGACACGAGTCGTTATAGAAAACTGATGGACGACAGCGTTTTTTTCAAGATTCCGAAATTCTTTTGCCAGTTTTATATAGGCTTTGATGAAAGATCTTTGTAGAAAAAATTTCGCCAAATTCGCTCGAGCTGATTTGTAAAAAGCCTATCCTCAAATTTTATAGGGAAAATGACGAGAATATGCATATACATAGGCTTTTTCCAAATCTGCTTGATAGAAATCGCTCAAACTTTCTTCTCAAAGACGATTCACGTAGGGCTAGCGAGAGATAATAACAAAAGTTTGGGATCTCTCATTAAGCGGGATCGGTCGTCGCTCTCGTGCAGTGGCTCCTAGATGAGATTGAAGAATGTTTTTTGTTAATTTCTATTAAACAAATTATCTAATAATCAAATAAAATTATTTGAATTCAAACAAATTGAAGAAGAAACAGAGAAAGAAAAGAAAATAAGAATTGTAATAGGGAAAAACAGAAAATTCTCAGTTCAAAGAAATAAAATGAAATTAACTTTTATTAAATTAAAAAAAAGCAAATGAGACAAATTCATTCTAAAAAAAAGAAAATTTTATTTTGAATAAAAAACGAATTTTCTCTTGGAAAAGAATTTCAATATGATATGCTTTTATTGATAAATTTCGAAATAACTTGTTTTTCTTGCAAATTTTTATTTAGCAAAAAAATAGTTAACCAAATCTTTTCTAATTTCCAATTTCTTTTCTTTTCAAATTAAGTCTTTGACAATTTGTTTCACTGATAAACTCTTTTTTCTCAAAATTGTCATTCGACAAATATAAATTTCAAATTTTTTCTTTTTAAAACAAAATATTTCTTCATTTCATTTTAAGAAATTTTATTCAAAATAAATCTTTGTTTTTTTCTACGATAAAAAAAATCTTCTTTTTATTAAATGTTTTGTTTTCATCATTTTCTAGAATCAAAAGTCAACAAATGGAAACAAAATGCCATCACTGTGGCTGGTGGAAATGGATGGGGACAGAAATTAAATCAACTCGGTCGCCCTGCAGGAATATTTATTGATAAAAACAAAAATATTGTCATTGCTGATTTTAGTAATCATCGTATTGTTGAATGGAAATGTAATGCGAAAGAAGGGCAGATCGTTGCTGGTGGAAATCGTAGAGGAAATCGAATGGATCAATTGGATGAGCCAACAGATGTGATTGTTGATCAACAAAATCAATCGATCATCATTGCTGATAGTGATAACAGACGAGTGATTCAATGGTTGAATCAAAATCAACAAATTCTCATTGACAATATTGACTGTTGGGGGTTGGCAATGGATAAATATGGATTTCTTTATGTTTCTGATTTTTGGAAGAATGAAGTAAGACGATGGAGAATGGGAGAATACAACGATGAAGGAATTGTAGTGGCAGGTGGAAATGGTCAAGGAAATCAACTAAACCAACTCAATAGTCCAGGTTGTATCTTTGTTGATGAGGAACAATCTGTTTATGTATCAGATGAAAACAATCGTCGTGTGATAAAATGGAGAAAAGATGCAAAAGAAGGAAGAGTTGTGGCTGGAGGAAGTGGAAGAGGAGGAAATCTCAATCAATTATCTTTACCTCAAGGAGTCATTGTTAATAGTTCGGGTCAAATCTATGTGGCAGATGGTGTGAATCATCGAGTAATGCGTTGGTGTGAAGGAAAAGAAGAAGGTGAAATTGTTGTTGGTGGAAATGGTGGAGGAAATCAATCAAATCAATTGCATTTTCCCCGTGGTTTATGTTTTGATGATGAAGAAAATCTTTATGTTGCTGATTATTGGAATCATCGAATTCAAAAATTTGAAATAATTTTGTGAATGAAGTTTTGATTTTTAAAAAAGAAAAGAACTTTTTTTAAAATAAAAAATCGAATAAATAAACGTTAAATTCTTCATCGTTTGTTGATTTTTGTAGAATTTTATAGAAGAAAAGAGAAAAAAATATTTTATAATTTGAATTAAAGTAAAATAATAATCGAATTCGATTCAGTTTTGTTGAACAAAAGAAGCGTTAAAAAGAGTTTTCCTTAATTCATTAACGAATTTTTGTTTTTTGGTCATTTGAAATTTGAAAAAAAAGTTTTTGATAAAATTTAATGTTTGATTTTCAAAACATTTTTAATCAAAAATGAATTAAAACATGATTTGTCAAAACAAAAAAGTTTTTTTTCGTTATTTTTCTTCATTTGAAATTTTTTATCAGATTTCTTGAGGATGTAGGTGTGGGTTGAGGGATTATTGGCACTAAGGGTGTGGATATGGAGTAGGTGTGGGTGAGGCTGTGGGTGTTTCTTCTTCTCTCACACTCACATTCCACTACTATGTTCGAAGTACTCCTGCACAAATTTAGGGTAGTAAAATAAAACCACAAAACATAGAACAAATAATCTAGACAATAAATTATGAAAAACAAACTCAATATGAATATACTTCAGTAAACACAAAACAACAACAACAGAAAAAAAATAGCTATGTAAAAATTAATATGCCAACGATATATATGCTATATCAATGATTACTGGTCGATTATTATTTGTATTTAATTGTTATGATAGCCGTTGTTGCTGGTGCTACCTTGTCATGATTGAAGCGAAGACGGATGTGACTTAGACACAGAATGATGAAGTGATTCGCGAAGAACTGATATAAAACGTACAGATGTTAAAAAGGAAAGTGTGCGCTGATTACACACTCGGCTTCTACATAGCCGTTTTTCTTATACGTTCACTAATATGTTTTGTAACATGGTCGTTTCGCAAGCACTGCTCTTTTCAGTACTACTGTTATACAATAATGCTATGTCATGCAACGCATATCATTTCATCAATCCGCCTCCTTGATATACATTGTCTGCCGTTCGCTATTGCAAATTGTATAACTATCATTGTTGACCGCTTGCCTGATCCGACATGGCAAGGACAAAGATAACCAATGTACAGGAGTCCTATTAGAGAAGAAAGGCCAAATGGAGAGGAAACTATAGGTAAAATTACACGGTCAAGCTACAGGAGGGACCAGAAAAGAGAAGTCACATATGTACCAGAACGACGGATCGTTCATGCTATATTTAACCGAACAAAAATGACTATGAAAACAAAGAAAGGTGAAACGATAGGAAGTGGCTGATATGTATGTATATGCACGGCAGGCATGTTCGATCAAGAATATTTAAGAGACAGCGATGGATGGAATCCGTCACAATATCTAAATAAGTCGATAAGAAAATTATTCAAAGATATGGCAGGAGCAAATAACAAGATACAATGTTTTACATGTAATAAGGAGAAAATAACATATCCTTGTAAAGGATGTTTAAAAGAATTTTGTTTAATGGACTTTATGGAACATCAACGAATATTAAATGATGAATTAAATTATATTGTCAATGAATATAATGAATTTAAACAAAGAATTAATGGACAAAAACAGAATCCACAAAATGATTTACTAATACAACAAATTGATGAATGGGAAAGTAATTCAATTGAAATAATTCAACACAAAGCACAAGAATGTAGAAAAATTGCTATGGGATATTTACCAACACTCTTTAACGATATTGAAAAGAAATTTACAGATTTATCTGAACAAATAAAACAAATTCGTAAAGAAAATGAAATTAATTTAAATGATTTAAGAAATCAATTAAGAGAAATTATACAAGAATTAAATAATCCATCAAAGATTTCTGTTAAACAAGATTCACAATCATTTATCAATGAAGTTTCAATTATTTCATCAAAAAGTAAGTTTTTACCAAATAAATTCTAGCTGAATAATTCTCTTTTTTCTACGAAATTGTTTTAAACAACATTAATACAAAGAGAAACAATGATAAAGAAAATAAAAAAATCAAACAGATTGTCACCTTTATAGAATAAATAGAACAGTAAAAACAAGATCAAAATTTATCTTTTCTTTTTTCTTCGATTAAAAACAAGTTTTCTTCTTTTTATTAAAATTTTTTATTTTCATCATTTTCTAGAATCAAAATTCAAGAAATGGAAACAAAATGCCATTACTGTGGTTGGTGGAAATGGAAAAGGACAAGAACTAAATCAACTCAATTACCCTTATGGAATCTTTCTTGATAAAAAGACAAACATTTTCCTTGTTGGTTATGAAAATCATCGTATCGCTCTATGGAAATACAATTTAAAGGAAGGACAAACCATTAAAGTTGGAAATCGAATAGATCAACTGAGTCATCCAACAGATGTGATTGTTGATCAACAAAATCATTCGATCATCGTTGCTGATTATGGCAACAGACGGGTGGTCCGGTGGTGGAATCAAAATCCACACATTCTCATTGAAAATATTCACTGTTTGGGACTGACAATGGATAAAAATGGATTTCTTTATGTTTCTGACTGTGAGAAGAATGAAGTGAGACGATGGAAAATGGGAAAAAACAATGAAGGAATTATAGTGGCAGGTGGAAATGGAAAAGGAGATCAGCTTAATCAACTCAATCGTCCTACTTATATCTTTGTTGATGAAGAACAATCTATTTATGTATCAGATAGAAACAATCATCGTGTGATGAAATGGAAAAAAGATGCAAAAGAAGGAAGAATTGTAGCTGGAGGAAATCATAACGGAAAAAATCTCAATCAACTATCTTCACCGCAAGGAGTCATTGTCGATGATTTGGGTCAAGTCTATGTGGCAGATGGTGTGAATCATCGAGTAATGCGTTGGTGTGCAGGAAAAGAAGAAGGTGAAATTGTTGTTGGAGGAAATCAACTAAATGGTCCCAGTGGTTTATCTTTTGATGATGAAGGAAATCTTTATGTTGTTAATTGTTGGAATCATCGAGTCGAAAAATTTGAAATAATATTGTGAATGAAATTTTGATTTTGAAAAATGAAAAAAGTTTTTTGTTAAATAAAATATCGAGAAATGAAAATAAAAGCAAAAGTCAAGTTTTATTGCTGGAAATGGATGAAAAAGAAATGTATTGATAAAAAAAAGTATCAAGAAACGTTTTTCTGGTTGTTTTTCGTTCAAAATTGAATTTAACTTGATAATTTTGATTAGAAAGTACGACTAAATAAAGGTTAAATAGTTCATCTTTTATTGGCTTTTATCAAATTTCACGCAGGAAAAGAAGAGAAAATATTTTATAGTTTTAATCAAATTAAAGTAACAGTTGAATTAAAACATGATTTGTCAAAACAAAACATTGTTTTTTCGATAGTTTTCTTCACTTGAAATGTTTTATTATATTTCTTTTTCAAATCAAATATACAGTTGGAAGAAAAGACACGAAACATCAAAGATTATGCTTTTACAAAGTAGTCACAAGAATTTATTCTATGAAAAAGAAATTCAAAGTGAGACACACGAAATACTTTGAAATAATTTCGTGTTTATAAGTTATAAGTTTTTGAAACCTATAGATAAACAATGAGAAAAGTCAATATTCGAATCTGAATCGATGTATTGAGTTTGAAATTATTACTATAAATGGTCTTCATTGAAAAAATATTTATTTGAAAAATTTCCAGTTCAAATAAAACTTCTTAAGTACGTATCAGAGTATAGAATTTAGTTTATACATCGTATGTCTTATTCTTAGGTCAAATTTTACTATAAAACTTATAGTCGCCTTTCACCCGTACCCCTTCTCCCGCTCCCAGATGGTCGCACTAACTCTCTCATGACCTTCTCCTGGACATAGGAGAGTACCATGGAAAGTTTGGTGACACTACCTATTACAAAGATTGAGTGCATAAAGAATAGACAGACAAATAGATAAACATGCTTCTTTATATATATAGATGACTCATTTTGTTTTGTATAAATAAATTAACAGACAAAATAAGAACAAATAATCATTTCTTCAACACATGGTAACAGCAAACAGCAGAGCAAAGTGCTCTATTTGTAACAAAGCGAATGCAACATGTCTTTGCTCAGGATGTTCCAAAGATTTTTGTTTTCAACATTTAACAGAACATCGACAAATTCTTGATAAACAATTAAACGAAATTATCAATGATCATGATCAGTTTCAACAAACAATTATTCAACAAAAACAAAATCCACTAAATTCTTCTTTAGTTCAACAAATCAATCAATGGGAAACAAATTCAATTGAAACGATTCAGCAAACAGCTCAACAATGTCGAGAAACACTGATGAAACTAACACAAAAATCGATCAATGATGTCGAAAAAAAGTTTCGTGAATTATCTAAGAAATTAAAAGAAATTCGTCAAGAAAATGAATTTAATGAAATTGATTTAAATCATTTTCAATTAAAATTAACACAAATGACAAAAGAATTTCTTCAACGATCAAATATTACTATTCGACAAGATTCACAAGAATTTATCGAGAAAATCTCAGTTATTTCATCTTTCAGTATGTTTATTCAATTACTTCATTTCGAGAAAAGAAAAAACAAAGTTTAGGCAGAGAATTTCTTCAATTTTATCGACGAGATTAATGATTTCTCATTAAGGAATTTAATTAATTCGAGATATGGATAGAAAAGTTTCACATGTTGAAAATGAACAAATATAGAAACGAGAGAGAAGTCTATAAATAGTTCATATAGAAATGATATGAATATGTATTTTAAAGATATACTGAGATCTGTCAAACTATTTCGATGTGAAGGCAATTCTTCGAAATTATCAATTATAAAAAAAAGTTAATCTGAGTAGTATGACAATGTCAAACGTCAGAATATCGTTTTATTATTTAATATATAGATAAAGATATTTTGAATAAAAAAACAAATCTTTTATTTTAGAACAAATTCAAACAAAAAAGAATAAATATCAACAATCTGGAATTACTGTTGCTGGAGGAAATGAAAATGGAAAGGAATTATATCAACTCTCTTACCCTCAAGGGATCTTTATTGATAATGATAAATCTATTTATATTGCTGATTCTAATAATCATCGTATTGTCAAATGGCAATTGAATTCAAATATTGGTCAAATCATTGCAGGTGGAAATGGAAAAGGAAATCAAAATAATCAATTGAAATATCCAAGAAATATAGTTTATGATAAAGAAAATAATTCTTTTCTTATTTCTGATCGTGGAAACGGACGAGTAATTCGATATTTTGATCAAAATCCAGTAAATCAACAAACTATTATTTCAAATATGAATTGTTTTGGTCTAACAATCGATAAAAATGGATTTATTTATGTTTCTAATTGGGAGAATCATGAAGTTAGACGATATCAACAAGGAGATGAAAAAGGTGAATTAGTTGCAGGTGGAAATCGTAAAGGAAATCATCTTAATCAACTCAATAATCCTACTTATATCTTTATTGATGATGATTATTCTCTTTATATATCAGATACAGACAATCATCGTGTTATGAAATGGGAAAAAGATGCAAAAGAAGGAATTATTGTTGCTGGTGGAATAGGTGAAGGAAGCAGTCTCGATCAATTGTCTTATCCTGCGGGAGTAATTGTTGATCATTTAGGTCAGATCTATGTGGCAGATCCTGATAATCATCGAGTAATACGTTGGTGTGAAGGAGATAAAGAAGGTGAAATTGTTGTTGGTGGAAATCATTGTGGAAGTCAATCAAATGAATTGTATTTTCCCACAGGTTTATCATTTGATAATGAAGAAAATCTTTATGTTGCTGATTGTCATAATCATCGAATCCAAAAATATCAAAAAATTTTAAATTAAAAACATTAATTTATGAAAAATCTTGAAGAAAAATAAATGAAAATAAATAAATATATGTTAATTTTAATTTTAAATTAAAATATTTATCGAATTGACTAAAACATTTAAATTAAGAAGATCTATCAAAATCAAAAAATCAGATTAAGAAAACCCTTTTTCAAAAGAAAAAACTATTGAATAAAAATTAAGTTGTAAAAAAATAAATTCGAAATTTCATTTGTTTAATAGACAATTTTTTGTTTATTTGTATAAATCTTTTTCATCAACAGGAAAATTTAGAAATAATTAACAAATAAAATAAAAATCCTTATATAAAGATTTTATTAAATTGTTTCTTGATTTTTCTGCTTGAAGCAGAAAAAGATTTTTAATTAATGAAAATTTATTTCTAAAATCTAAATCAAAAAAAATAATTCGTTGACTTTAATTAAAATAATAAAATGGTGAAGAAAAATTGAATGATTTTTCTATTTTATTGATAAATAAAAGAAAATACAAACGAATCTCTCACTTAGACGATTATTTAACAAATCAATAAATATTTTTTATTGAAAGAAAATAATTCACATGATCTTATAAAAATATTATATTTCACTTTTGCAGTGAATTATTTTATCTTAATCTCAAAAGTAACAGTATTTTTGGGTCAAGTTCTCTAACATCATCAGTTTAGTGTTGAACAAATTATGAATATAAATGTGAATCAGTTCATTGACATTCGTCGATTAGTGCTTCTATTAGTAAAGCATTTGAACTTGATATTAACATTGATAATTCAATTTATGAACTAGAGGGCATGGGGTTAGGTGCGATCTCTAACTGATATCCACACCCATACCCTTTAAAGATCATAATTCAATCGCATATGTTAGGACCTCGGTGCAAAATAATTGCGACAAAAAAATAACATTGAGATAAAAACAACAAATTGACGACTTTCCTTTTACGTCAGATTTCAGAAAAATAATTTTACCATATGTAAGCTATTTTCTAATGTAAATACCAACAAGTTTTTCGAAATAGAATGTTCCAGTCAACATAAAAACATGATTTTTGCAAAAAAAAACATTGAAAATCAGTATTTTTTTGAAGGAAATTCAGAGTTTCCTGAGAGAAAAAAATTTATGAGAGTGAAGGTGACTGTGCTAAACATATTAACAATAAATTTGAATGACGGAAATATATGAAATAGCAGGATTTATCGAATAGTGATCTTCGAAAAAAAAATGAATGAGAGCAAGATTATAGTTTATATTTCCGATGCTAATTTCAAGGAAAAACAACTCAATTTAAAATCTATTTCTCATAAATCAACAAAAATAAGTAATTGATCTTCATTTAAGTGCATAATAGTTCATAGAAGTTTCAATATCTAAGGACAATGTTTTTTCAACGAAACCTTTTGTAGTTAGATCCAAATCCAAACTGTTTGAGTTTGGGTTTGGGTCATGTTTGATGGTAGATACTACGCTGTTTAAGAAAATCTTTTGTTTTTCAATTATTTTTAGTAATGATTAATACATTCGACGTATCTCTAAAGTAACTATAATAGTTATCGAAATTATGTAATAAATTTCAATTCTAACAGCCATAAAAGAATTCTCTGGTATATGCTATTTTTGCATTAAATTCAACCAGGGAATAAATATTATAGATTTAAACGCAAGCAATGTAATAATTGTTAATTTTTTTTTTGAATTACATCTGGCACAATAAAACATTTTATCCTAACAGGTTTTCTTTTAGAATACATTTTATTTCCTTTGAAAAACGCTGGTTTTGATATTTAATTAAGTAATCAACATCTGACAATATTTTTCACAAAATCAATCTTGACAAAGGAAGCGAATTAATCATTTTTATTAATATATATATATATATATTTTTTTCTGCTCTAAATATTTTACTTTAAACATATTATTTAAGAGGACATGACTTTTTAGTATTTTCACATTCTCCATAATAATAAATCTAATTTTTTTTAATAATCTTTTATTTTAGTTGACTAGATTTAATACTGAGAAAAGTCAGATGTCAGTCGACATTGTTCAATACAAGTTTTTAAACGAGAAGATTTGTTCTTTGTAGATTTTAGTTTTTTGAAAGTATTGAAATTTGGATTCAATCTTAACTACATGGAGAGCAACAAAGTCAACGTTTACAATGTAAGCTATTTAGATCAAGAAAAACATTGCATCATAATCTTCTTTTCTTATTTATTTCAGGGTGTGCATCTAACTAATGCTGCTCCAAGGCAACGAGCGACACCGTATGTATATGATTATTTACAGTAGATAATAGAAAGAATCTTTTCTTCTAGATCTGCATATTATGACACGGGAAAATTAACACGGGTCCTGTTTTCTATTCTTGTTCTTATTTTATCCTTGGCTGTTTTAGCAATTGCTCTTCTTACGAAAAAAATAAATGAAGAAAATATATCAATATCAGAAGGATCAATCATTGAAGCAACAACAACAACAGAAATGATCATTCCAGACATGATCGAAATAACAACCAAAGGTATAGTCTTATCATTAAAAAATCTTTTTCAAATTTTTCATATCTATTGTTTTTATAATGACATAAAATAGTTATACATCATAATTCTATAGAAGAATACCGAAAAGTACAGAAATATTATGTTCAATAAAACAAAATCTTTTTTTAATGTTTTCTAGAACTATTAATGCCTTCTGTTATCATTAATACGGATACAAAATGGAAACAAAATGCAATTACTGTTGCCGGAGGATATGGACGGGGAAATAAATTAAATCAATTAAATGATCCTTATGGTATTTGTATTAATGATGATGATAATAGTATTTATATTGCTGATCGTGAAAACCATCGTATCGTTAAATGGCAATCAGGTGCATACAACGGCGAAATAGTTGCAGGTGGAAATGGACGTGGAAGTGCAATACATCAATTAAATTATCCAAAAGATGTTATTCTTGATAAAGGCAAGAACAATATTATCATTTGTGATCAGGGCAACTCACGAATAATACGATCATCTCTTCAAAATAGCCAGAATCAACGGGTATTGATAGTACGTATTGTTTGCTGTAGTTTAGCAATGGATGACAATGAAGATCTTTATATTTCGGATTGGGCAAAACATCAAGTCATACGTTGGCGACAAGGAGATAAAGAAGGTAAAGTTGTAGCAGGTGGGAATGATAAAGGAAATCGATTTGATCAATTTAATCAACCGAGTTCTATTTTCGTCGATAAATATTATTCAATTTACGTAGCAGATTGTATGAATAATCGCGTAATGAAATGGTCGAAAAATGCGACTATAGGTATTCCTGTTGCTCATGGACAACTCATTAATGCAAATCTCAGTTCACTTCTTCGACCCAATAGCGTAATTGTTGATCATATGGGTAATATTTATATGTCGAATGAGAGAAATCATCAAATAACACGTTGGTCACCAGGTACAACAAAAGGTGTTCCTGTCGTTGGTGGAAGAAACGCTGGAAGCAAATCCATGGAGCTTAGTTATCCATTTGATTTATCATTCGATCGACAAGGTAATCTTTATGTCGTCGATGCAGGCAACGATCGAATACAAAAATTTATTATTGATCGTGACTGAAACAAGATTTTGAAGATAAAATGACTTTTAATGAATAATTCTTTTTTTGTCACATTAAACTATTTTTTTTTCATTAATAACAAATAAAATTCTTTAAAAATATTAATAATTTTATAACTTATCATTTAACTTGTACACACATTCTTTTCAGATGTCGATAAATTTTATATTTCTACGTAGTAAAAATTAGTAAAACTATTAAATATACATATTCACAAGAGGGAAAAATGCGGATCCTCATGAATTTCCTTGAGTATACATGATCTGCTTAGCTCGTATACGTTTCATCATTTCTATCTGCATATATATTGTATATGAGAATTGATAAGAGGCATATTTCGCAATATGGCGTAATATACTAGAAAATAAAAAATTCGATGATTTTTATTTCAGAGAAAGTTCATCAAACATGTTTAGTCTGTTATATATTCATGAGAGAAATAATAAAGTTGGTTATTTAAATATTGATTTTAATTCTAAACTAAATAGACAACAAAGAAAAGTACAGGCAAACAATCTGAGTACGTCATAAAAAATTATTTGATAAAAGAAACAATGAAAATGATTAAAAAATCTTATTCACAAAAAGAATAACAATCTATATAATTATTTCTTCTTACTATCTCATCATTTTACTCAGTAAATACTTTTTAAAATCATTGTAAAGATATATCGATAAGAAAAATGTTAAGAATTGTTTTTTCTACACTTTAAATCGAAATGGAAATCTTATTGATAAAAAAAAAAAGATCTGTAAATATTTACAAAATATTGAGCTTGATTTAAATGCTTTTCAGATACTAGAATATCTGATTAATTTACTTACGATTTGTTTGCTAATGTTGACGACTTCATGTTGAAAAATGACTATATCGACAGTGTACTGTACGCATTTTTGATAGGAATAGGAGTCTTTCAAACGATTGAATATACATTTACAGTCTAAGGACGGAACAAAATTTTATCATTCGAGTTTTTTACTTTGAACCGAAAAAATCTTTTTAATTCAATATGATTTTAGGATTGTCACATTCTCATTCTCATTAGTTTCTGTAAAAAGAAAAGAAACCATTGCATTATTGTTCTTAATAAAATTTATTCTCGAGTTTAATTTACAATAAGTAGGCAGGCATCTGAAAACGAGATTTGATATTTATTAGTATTGATTTTTGATTATATTTTTAGAAAACTCTTCAACTGATAGACTATATGAAATCGTTGTAGCAATAACTGATCGTTTTAGTAAAAGAATTCAAATTTGTTTAAAAATTTCTCAAATAAAAATATATTTTAAATACCAATCAAAGTAGAAGAAACTGAATTACATTGAATATTATATCTTTTTGTTATTTACATAATAAGAATATTAATAAAATCACATTTATTAATTACTATTTCAGTATTGCTTGGTGGTGCATGTGTAACTGTACGAAAACGTTGAATATAATACCCACATCTACATCTATATTCACACTCCTCAAGATTTTTGTTGTTATCTTTTGCAAGTAGAGAAGAAACTCTATGAAGATAAATAATATCATCGTCAATGAAAGAAAAACAAATACTTCTTACCAACTTGAATGTATAACCATGTTTATCATTCTTTTAAAAACGAAGATAAAAAAATTTATTTAGTTTCAAATATAAAAGGTGAATTATGTACATACTTATATTTATTTCGAAGAGAAAGAGACTCTTACGAGTATATACGTCAAAAAGACAGAATAACAAGTAATTTATAAATAGTCAAAGTCAGTAAGTATTACTCAATTTATCTTCTTTTACAACGTTTTTTTTCTTTTGGAGATTAATGTGTGTGAGATAGAGTTTAAATAGATATCCTTGTACGGACTGTTGTTCAGTTTAACCACAAAAGTTCTCGTAAGCTTAAAGTTTAATTTAACTCTTAGGCGAATATTATGACTTTTCAATGGTTGTAGAGGCCACAGAGATGTTCATTTTTGTAACTTGTTTTGTTTCTTTGGAAGTTTTCAAAATAAGAGACACCAAGTTCATAAGGTTAAATACTAGTGCAGATGAGAGTATATATAAAGATGCGGGCATAGATGATGATGTGAGGATGTCATAAGAATAAAAGTATTGAGAGATGACTATAATATCCACACCAAAGTGTCTATTACCGTCTTCACTGTCGTGGTGGTATGTAGACCCACCATCACCCATCTTCAAGATCAATGTTAATTACAGGTCTAGTCTATTACAATTTATTTCATTATAGGTCTTATCATATTTTGATCTGGAGAATTATTGTTTGTTTTCCTAGATCATAGGCGGTGCGCACTGAGTGACTATTCAGGTCGATTCATATGCTTGACACTCTATGCTTTCTCGTTCATAATATATTGATACCACTTCTATGTATTACTGTGAATCTGAAATTTAAAAATGAATGCATTTCGATTACAATGGATTCTTATTATTATTTGTATATAAGGAGGTTACATAGAAGGATGAATGTTTATAAAAATGCTCTGAAATCATCGTGTATCATTTAGTAGAGTCCGTGATAAGTGAAAGATTCATGGAAATGATCATTTCATGTTTTGATATTGATATGAAAGTTAATGTGTTTAATATTAAACTGATTTGTTCTTCTCAAAATGTGATTGAAATCAAGATAAAGTTAATCAAGTAAGAAAGGATAGTTAAATTTTGAGATCAGCAATGTTTTTTTTCTCGTATTCATAACTTAAAACATTAAAATAAAACTTAATTAATATTACTATGTCAGTTAAATTAAGTTAAAAAATATTTTATCGATAAAATTAAAGTTATTCGAAACTATTTTGATGTGATATAAGATGGGTATGGGTGTAGATGAATACAAGACTACGTCACACTTACACCCATACTCAAATATAAGTAAAAAAGAATCGATTGGTCTAAGTTTTATTTAGTACCCAGTTGAACTTTTTTTTGCATGCACATGAGATTCTTGACTTTCTTGTGCAAGAATCTCATACGCTATAAACACATCTTGAGGTCAAGTCTTGTTAAGCGTTTGAAAAAAAGTTCGACTAGAGATAGACAAATCATTTTATCATGAACAATCAAATAATATTAGACAGATTATTTTATATTGTAATTAAGTTTTCATGTAATATCTTTTTTTTATTCTTTTAGCTCATTTATTTATTTTGTTCATTATAATCAGTTACTTCTATACGATACAACTTTTTAAAGTTCCCATACTGTAACCACTTGCAGCTGCCTCACATCCACATCCCAACATGATTTTAAAAACAATCTTTTATTTTATTTGTAGATTATTTATTGTGCTTGTTATCCGAAAATATTATTTCACATAAACATGGCTACAGGTGGAAATGTTGACTCACAACAATATACACGTGTATCAGATATTGCCAATGAACCGCAAAAGATGTTCATGCCAATTGAAGGATACGAAGAAATGCCAATAGTGCCATTGGAGGAAGCTGTTGCACCACTCCTTTCGATTTTACCTAAAATTCAAACTTATACTTATGTGGCAAAACAGCGATGCGAATCTGTATCTCCCGATGGTTTAACTCAGGATGAATCAGCTTCAGTCATTCTTTACTCCATGGAATGGGAACCACATGAAAAATGTTTATATTTTGCCCTCAACACAGCTCTTCGCACTGAAGACAGGAGAAAATTAAAACCATGGTTTTTGTATTTGAAACTTGTTCTTACAGCACTCGAAAAATTACCATCCACACGATGTACTGTGTTTCGTGGAGTGAATTTAGACCTAGCAAATCAATATACTGAAGGAAAAACATTTGTGTGGTGGGGATTTTCTTCATGTACAACATCGATGAGAGTACTTGAAAACGAACAATTTTTAGGCAAAACTGGCGAAAGAACACTGTTTACTATCGAATGTGATAGTGGCAAAGATATTAGTGGTCATTCGTATTTTCAATCGGAAAAAGAAGTTCTTCTTCTGGCTGCTCGACAATTTACTGTAGTATCTTGTCTTCGACCAGCACCAGGTCTATATATGGTTCATTTAAGAGAAATAAAGCCTCCAATTACTCTTTTACAACCAGCCACAAATCAATCTGTAGACATTAAACCAATACCACGTAAGAGAAAAACTATTTCATCAGTTGAAATATAAAATTTAAAATACAGAACAATTTGATAGAAAACTACTGACTAGTCGTAAAATTATGATTTTAGCTCATTTTTCGAAGAATGAGTTTTTACAAGATCCCTGACTAAACTCTACAAATGCTAAAATTTTTGCACATAAATATGGTGTGGGTGTGAGTGTGGGTCTGGGCCTGGGTATATGTGCAGCTGTGACATTAATAGTTGTTATATTAGTGTACCCATATCCATATTCACACTCACATCCTCATGTTTTTTAACTGATTTACTCTAATATTCAATTCAAGTCTAAATAAATTTCTTCGAATTCATAGAATTTTTAGATTTTTTTCATTTGAAAAATCTCTTTCAATATTTTAATGTAAAGATTATCTTGTTTTTAAATTGTTCAATAAATTTAAGTTAAGTTTAACTCTTTAGTTTAGAATTTTGAATTAAAAACATTTTCCTAAATTAAACTTTGATCAAGATCAGATAAAGAATTTTGAATTAAAAAAACTAAATTGAATGTAGAAATCATTTGTAATTTATTTTGTGCATTAAAAATTATACTTGACAAAAAGAAAATTTTATTTTATTATGACAAATTCCGATACAACTTTTTTTCTTAGTTTCGCCCTTTTTTGATTTAAAAATAATGAAAAAGATTTTGAATAAAAGGAGAATCTTTTATTTTAGAACAAATTCAGACAAAAAAGAATCAATATAAACAATTTGCAATTACTGTTGCTGGAGGAAATAGAAAAGGAGATCAATTAAATCAACTCTGTGATCCTCATGGAATGTTTATTGATAATGATAAATCAGTTTATATTGCTGATTGTTCGAATCAGCGTATTATGAAATGGAAATTAAATTCAACTGAAGGTCAAATCATTGCAGGTGGAAATGGACAAGGAAATCAAAATAATCAATTGCATGGTCCAATAGATATAATTTTTGATGAAAAGAATAATTCTTTTATTGTTTCTGATTTGCACAATCAACGAGTCATTCAATATTTTGATGAAAATCAAACAAAGCAAAAAAAATTTATTTCAAATATTTATTGTTGGGGTCTGACAAACGATAAAAATGGATTTATTTATGTTTCTGATTATTACAGTCATGAAGTAAGACGATGGAAACAAGGAGATAAAAAAGTTGAATTAGTTGCAGGTGGAAATGGTCAAGGAAATCATCTTAATCAACTCAATGATCCTACTTTTATCTTTATTGATGGTGATTATTCTCTTTATATATCAGATAAGCAGAATCATCGTGTGATGAAATGGAAAAAAGGTGCAAAAGAAGGAATTATTGTTGCTGGTGGAAATGGTCAAGGAAATAGTCTCAAACAACTGTCTTCTCCTTATGGAGTAGTTGTTGATCATTTGGGTCAAATCTATGTGGCAGATTGTCGGAATGATCGAGTAATGCGTTGGGGTGAAGGAGATAAAGAAGGTGAAATTGTTGCTGGTGGAAATGGTAAAGGAAACCAGTCAAATCAATTGAATTTACCTATAGGTTTATCATTTGATAATGAAGAAAACCTTTATGTTGTCGATAATGAAAATCATCGAATCCAAAAATATGAAAAAATTTAAAATTAAAACTATTCTTAATTTAGTTTGATAAAATTTCGATTTTTACTTCTGAAAATAAATAAGAAACATTAATTTATGAAAAATCTTGAAGAAAAATAAATGAAAATGATTTAAAAAATTTCTTTTCCTAAAATAAATAAATATGTCTTTCCTTTTTAAAAGAAAAGTAAATAAATATTTGTTAATTTTAACTATCAATTAAAATATCAAAATAATTCGGATAAAATTTTTGTAGAATGAATCAAATTAAAAGAATTTAAAAGAAAATTCAACTAGAAAAAAATTAGTTTTTATAGAAAAATCAAACAAAATATTTTTCAAATTGAGAAACACATTTAAATTAAGATAAAAAAACTTGTAAATAGAAACAAATAGTTTTTTTCTTAGATTTATTTTTGTGACTTTATGGTTTATTGAGAGAAAGGAAAGAGAAAAGAATAAAGATAAATGAATAAGAATGAAATCTGTCAAAGTCGAAAAAGTAGATAAAGAAAATCGTTTGTTTAAAAGAAAAAATTCTTGAATAAAACCAAACAATTATAAAATAAAAAAAAAATCGAATTTGTTCTCTTTTATTAAATAATCAAAACTGAAGAGAAAAAATAAATTCAAAAGTTTATTTGTTTAATGAACAAGGGTGTGGATGTGGGATAATGGAAATAACTAGACCTACACCCACACCGATACCCACACTTTTGATATATACTATGAATATTGATTATCTATAAAGGAACTCTCTTCCATTTGGTTCTAGTTATACTGAACACGGCTAATTTTAGAAGTTGAATGAAATCAGTTCAACTGATAACTTGAAAAGCCAAAAAAGGTCTCTGTCTATGGAAATCTATAAATAACATATGAGAAAAAACTTTTCTAGGAAATAAAACTATATTACTGAAGTCTATGAAAGTTTTGCTGCTACAATTAGTTTTTTATCATAAATTTTCAAGCGTCATTAAAATAACGATTAAATAATGTCCATTCAATATATTTCAGTTTAAATTCTTGAATTATATTCTCAACCAAACATTGTGCAATATTATAAGAAGATTTCTCTGTTCATTAAACGTACCAGTCAGTTGCAGTTAGACGATGATTTTAATCAATTATTAAATGAAAGACAAACACCAAAAGAAACTAGCATAGCACATATTTATGTTTTATTCTTATTAAGATTATATATGTTAACGAGAAGATCTCTTTGAAATACAATGGTTATTTTTGTTTACTGCAGTTTATAGGTCGTCAATACTAACTTTATGTTTTAATTAGTTTACTCAGGCAATAATCGGATTCTTCTGTCTGTCTTTTAAGTATTTACCATTCATTAAGAAATTAACATCAATCTACTTCAGATAGGTATAAAATTATGTTTAACTATAATAAAAATTGTTACTATCAAAACAACCGTTATATTTTTTTATGGATTCTTTGCGGCAAACAAAATGTAAATTTATATGTGACGATCGATGAAAAAGAAAATGTTTATTTTTCATAAAATATATTTGTCGACACGTTAAATTGCGTCTTTGTAAGAAGAAAAAAAAAATAAAAGTAATGTCTTTAAGTAGAAATATAAAATCAAATAAAAAAATTGGTCAACATTTCATATTTTATAGCACAACATAGTGTCGATTTTATTCAAAAGAACAAAATGTGGAAAAGTATTAGTACCGTTTCGGCTACTGTAAGTATAAATTTTTTTTGCCTCGCATTAATTCATATAGAAATACACTCGAAGAAAAGAAAAAGCATAGAAGTATTTGTATAGATCTTGACTTTTTAATCATTTATATTCATAGGAAACGTCGACAACTCCTTTTAAAGATATGCGTTATTTCGTATATTATCCACCAAAAAATTCCATGCGATTAATTGATGTTAGTGAAAGTGTTCTTGTTCAAGATATTCTTACATTAGTTATAAAAGACTTTGGTCTTGATATTGAAGATAGTAATCCAGGTGATATATCAATTGTTCTTAGTTATAATGATTCTGATCTTAAACCAAAATGGTCTTTAACTGATTTAAATATTCCATCTGGATCAATACTTCGTTGTTTATATCGAGAAAAAAAACCCGCTGATCTATATATTCATTGTAGTTATGATAAACAAATAATTAAATTAGATGATTCCCGAATTACAATTGATACAACAATTAGAACAATACGTAAAATAATTTCAAATAAATTAGGTTTACCATTAAGTGTATTTTGCCTTGAAACATATGGTAGTAGACAACGTCTATATGATCCAATGAAATTAATCGATTATGATATAAGACTTCATGAACATATTTATTTAAAAGTATGGGGAGGATATGAAAAATTTATTCATTCATGTACTAAAGATTTACCCCTAGAATATTCTCGTGATGAACTTTCACGACAATATCAAATACAAATCGCTTTATATATAGCTACATTTTATGGTAAAATTTCTTTTTTCTTCACAATTAATCTTAAATACATATATTGAGTTTTAGGTCATGTAGAATTAGCGAATTCTGTCATGCAACGAGGTGGTCGTAGTGATCGTCCTGTAGGTGAACATCCATCTCGTCAATGGTCAAGTAGAATAAAAAATGAAGATTTTCCTGAACTTGATAAATGTCCTATTCATATAGCAGTTGAACGAGGACATGTTAAAATGGTCGATCTCTTTGTTCGTCAATCTATTCTATGTACACAAATTCGAGATCCTGTAACAGGTCGTTTACCTTATATGTCAGCATTAGCTCGTTCATTATTAGCAACATGTAAACAAGAAACACAACGTTATCGTGTTATTTATTATTATTTACATGATAAACAATTTAATCTTAAAATACCATTAAATTCTACTGGTGAATATGTTACAAATTTACTTGCATCAACGATTAGTGCTAATATATTTCATCATGTATCAACTAATCTTGTAAATATTTCATTACCATTCTATTGTAAAATTATTAGATGGTATGAGCGTGCACGTGAAAATGCTTGGAAAAAATATGGTGGACGATTTTATACACCGTCACAAACAAGACGTGTTTATCCAAAACAAGGTTTACTTGGTTATAAAGTATTAATTGATGGTTATAATAATACATTTGATATTCCTGAAAACCAACTTCGAACTGTACATTCGGGTAAAGGTTACACATCGAATGCAATCGATATTTATACTGGTTTTAGTGAAGACGAACGTAAAAAAATTATTGAAACAAAATTAAAGGTTAAAGATATTGCATTAAATGATAGAAAACGTGTTAAACAAATAGCTACTGCAAATAATCAACAATTACGTCGTCCTCGATTATTATTACCATCAAAACAAAATAAACAATCAACAATAATTTCAAATACAACTTATTCTTCAGCATCGACATCAATGAATCAAAAACAATCAATTTCCGAAAATGATAGTTCATCAACTATGGATTCAATATTAAGTAAACATAAATCCGATGAAAATTTAAAGCTATCAACAAAAAAAACTCATAAAAAGTTACCTTCCATATCATCTGTCATTATCAATGAAGAAGGAGAAGAAGATGGCAGCGACGAGAAACATTCTTTACCCAATATCATTAGTCCAACAATGAATCTATCTTCAAGTTATCCATTATTACCCAATAAATTACAACCAATAATGTCATCTGCAGATGCATATGCATTATCATCGAAACGTATGACTTTAGAAGCTGAACAACATCGAATAAGTAAACGACAAGAATTATTTACACAGATTAAACAATCTGTACAATCTATACAAAATCAAACACAATATCATCCGAAGAAAACAACAAATCTAGCTCCTATTTCATTACCAATTGATCGTAATTCAATTGATGTTGATTCATATATTGCTTTACCTGACCATCCTAAAGAAAACCGTTTGAGTCCAATTAAATCTCGTATTGATACTGATGTTCGTCAATCTGCTGTGCAACCTTATGAACGTTATGCTAGTGCATCAACACGATCAACAGCTGTTCGTTGTTTACAAGAAGCTAGTTATTTTAAAAGAAAATCATGGATTAAACAAGTTGAAATTAGTAAAGAAATGGTTAAAAATCATGTTAAAAGACGTCTTCGTCGTGCAGATAAAGACTTTATATATAATAAACCTACTTTATTACCTCTTCGTGCTAGTCCGGTAACAATGTTTACTAATTAACATTTTAGGTTTTCTTTATTTTTTTATTGTTTTTTTTCTGAATAAAAAGAAATAATACATTGTATATGGAAAGGGTTCTTATTATAGATCCTGGGTATAGGTTATCATGATTATAAATAAATGCTTTTATTTTGTTGATCAAGAATAAAAGTGTCCATTTATGAACATGTATGACAAACTAAAAAACAAGAAAAAAACTATTGTTAAAGATTTTTATTTTTTGTTCTTTAATCTTACCTAATGCAGAACCAAGTTTTCTACATGGTACTTTGAAAAGTTTCTTTCGACATCGATTACAACGAGCACAATCAAGATGATAATAACGTGTATCATGTTTAAATGCATCTTCGTCACCTGTTACAGGTCGTGTACATTTATCGCATATTGGTATACGACCTGCTTGATCGCATTGTACAGGAGTTATTTCTCCATAAATATTTTCTAAATGTGGTGCATGTTCTTTGCCTTGATACATACCAGTAATATGTTTTGAACATGTTAAACATTGATAACGTCCATCCAACATATCAACAAAATTATGACCTAAATTTTGTTTATATGTTTATTAAAAATCTAAAAAATAAATAATTACCATCAGGTATGACTGCAGTACATTTGCAGCAACTAAAAGAAATATGGAATTAATTCATTAGTAAACAAATAGATAAATAAATATTCTCACCGAAAGCAATCGCTATGATAATGACGATCTTTAAATCGTTTAGCTGTTGTTCCAGATGGTATCTTTTGATTACACATACAACAACTAGAAGATAAAATGTCTTATCGTAGATGTTAAATGAAGCATTCTTTTTTTTTATTACATACATAGGAGCAAGCGTATTATTACAATTTTCACATTGAAATTGATTATTTGGTTTCGGATAAAATGGTCGTCCTGCTAATGTATTTCCACATTGTGAACAACAGAAACATTGTGGATGATAATATCTATCCTGATAGATTTGCATAGGATCTCGTGGTGTAAACGCTTTTCGACATGATTCACAAAACGTTTTTGTCAATGGACGATTTGTTGTTGGGCCACCCGACATGATCGCTATTTGTACGACAAGTGTGAGAATGTAGTGTTGAAACGATACGTAATGGAGTAAAACGATGTACAAAAAAAGGACGATATATCTCGATCTTTCTTTTCCTATGCTGTTCTTTTTTTGTTTGTGTCTTACGACCGCGCCTTTATGGCCTTTCACACTTTTCTCTTTCTGATATTTTCTCCTTCTTGCTATAGAATAGTACGTATAGCACTATCTTGATGATAATATTTGCCAATCAATAGTTCGTGTTGTTGTTATTCTCTTTCTTCTCTTCTTCTCCTTCTCCTTCTTCTTTTTTTATCTACCCCAAAATAACTCAGCCTTTTTCTTTGGTTGGTCACCATATTTGTTACTATTATACATGTTGTAATACATATGCAAAACTATCATGTAAACGGCCATGAATCTACACAACAGGTCATATGACAAATAGATATATGAATTGATTCATGTATACTTTTTCTGTTTCTTTCATTACTGTTTGATGACTTATAAGAGACTCTTGATAAATTAAACGAGCTTCTTACTTTATTCGGTCATATCATTATCTCAGATCAACCAACCAATGAATATTAACATCAATAATAGACAAGGTTGCTATTGATTATTATCAAATGAACAGCAAACATTCTATATAGTTTTTTTCCTCAAATAAACTAGATAAGCGAGATTTGCCATTCATATATGACAACATAACAATAGATAAATATCTTGACTGATTCAAATAATGTTTCATACAAGAGAACTATTCATGTCTATGAAAAGTTTATCAAATCTATTATAATATCATTTAATAAATCGATTTACGTCAAATAATGATTGATTAACAATTCGTCTATCATTCAGTAGTGACATCTACATTTTTTGGAGACTCTTGCAAAATCCAATGTCATCCATTGAATATAATATATATGATGATATATAGACATAGATTTTCAAAATACGAAAATATTCTTTAGGAATTAGCTCGTTATTTATATTGTTGTTTTCTTTTCTATAGATAATTAATTTTCAAAATGGTACTTGATATTGATTTATTTCGATCGGAAAAAGGTCATGATCCACAAGTAGTTCGTGATTCACAAAAAAAACGTTATAAAAAAGTTGAACTCGTTGATAATGTTATTGATTGTGATAGTCAATGGCGTACCGTTCGTTTTCAAGCTGATCAATGGAATAAAATAAAAAATCTTTGTGGACGTACAGTTGGTACAAAAAAACAAGCCAAAGAAAATGAAGGTGATTCCGAAGAACTTCCTGAAAATTTTAAAATTTGTTTGGATACATTAAATGCTGATTTACTTACAAAATTAACCATTAAACAATTAAAACGTCTTAGTACACAAATTGATACAGAAATCGAAAAAACCAAAGAAAAATTAATTAAAATTGAACATGATAGAAATTCTGCTTTACATGAAATTGGAAATCTTGTTCATGATTCTGTACCAGTTAGCAATAATGAAGTAAAATCAAAAGAATAATTATTTAAAATTATTGATTTTTTATTAAACTCTAGCAAAAACATTTTATTATAGGATAATAATGTTACCGAACGAACATTTGGTGATGTTGAAACACGAAAGAAATATTCACATTTTGATTTAATGTATATGATCGATGGTTATGATGGTGAACGAGGAGCAGCAGTAGCTGGATCTCGGGGTTATTTCATGAAGGTGACAAATCGAAAAAATTCTGTTTTGCTTTATATGAAAATTATTTTTAGGGTCCTGCTGTTTTTCTTGAACAAGCAATTATTCAATTAGCTTTGAGAATTTTAAATGATAAAGATTTTGAAATTCTTTATACACCATTTTTCATGAGAAAAGAAGTTATGCAAGAAGTTGCACAATTAAGTCAATTTGATGACGAACTTTACAAAGTATGTCAATTGATTATTCAGTAATGGAAGTAGAATCTTTTTTCGTTAGGTTGTATGTAAAAATGATAAACCTGATGAATCAAGTGATGAAGAAAAATATTTAATCGCTACTTCTGAACAAGCTATTGCTGCTTTTCATCGGTTCGTAGACTTTTTTTCTTCATTTCTTACATCAATTTGATATTTAATAGCGATGAATGGCTTGCTGCTGAACGATTACCAATTCGTTATGGTGGTTTTTCAACTTGTTTCCGACAAGAAGCTGGTTCTCATGGTCGAGATACACGTGGTATTTTCCGTGTTCATCAATTTGAAAAGGTTTGAAAAAAACTATTTATTTTTAATTTTTATTCTTTATGAAATATTTAGATTGAACAATTTTGTATTACTTCTCCGCATGATAACGAATCATGGAAAATGTTTGAACAAATGATTGGAAATGCTGAAGAATTCAATAAACAATTGGGTATTCCTTATCGTGTTGTTAATATTGTGTCCGGTGAATTAAATAATGCCGCTGCAAAAAAATACGATTTAGAAGCATGGTTTCCTGGTTCGGGTAAATTTCGTGAACTTGTTTCTTGCTCAAATTGTCTTGAATATCAATCAAGACGATTAAAAATTCGTTATGGTCAAACAAAAAAACTTAATGAATCAGTAAAATTATCTTTAATTTACTATTAATTCTTATTCTTATCTATTATAGTCTGAATATGTTCATATGTTAAATGCAACAATGTGTGCAACAACACGAACTATTTGTGCCATTCTTGAAAATTATCAAACAGAAGATGGCATTATTGTACCTGAAGTACTCAAATCACTTATGCCTAAAAGTTTGTTTATTTTCATCATTGATTAGTTTATCTAAATAATCTTTTTTTGTGAATTTAGAATATTCTGAAAAGATTCCATTTGTTAAAGAAGCTCCAGTTGAACAAGAATCGAAAGCAGCTGGTGCAGCTAAAAAGAAATAAAACAAAAAACAAATAGTTTAACTATCTGACAAGAACCGGTTTTAATTTTGTTGTTTTAAAAATTTTATATTCACTTGATTGTGAACAGATTATCATAATACACAAATAAAAAACAACAATAACAGTGATTTCTTCTATATTGATTGCTAATAACGTTTTACTATGCCTATATTTGGCGCCGATCTTCTTTCACTAGTGAATAACATTATCTAATCGGAGATGAGAGACGATATAATGTTAGATGATTTTCGTATTGAGTGGATTTGTCGACGAACATGTCAAATGCTTAATGTTGATAGGTCTATATTTGTTGATATGTTAGAACGAAATAATGGTTTTAATGAAGATTTAATTGATAAATTTCTTAATATGAATACAGCTTTACATGAAAGATCATATGCATTACTATTTCATCGTGAAGATTCAACACGAAAAGTTTGGCAAATGATTGATTCTATTGATGAAGAAGAAGATTTTGATGAGGTATCCAAAATCTAAAAATAAGAATAAATAATTTAATAACAATTATAGTTTGATAATGATGATGATGATGATGAAAACGATCAACAATTTATTTTAACTATCAATGAACCAATCGATGCCGAAACTGAATATCCAAGTATATATTTCGCAATAATAAATATCAATAAGACTTGTTTCTATGTTGATACTAAATTTGAGACTTACAGAAAAAGATCAAATTACTTTGTATCGAATTGTTTTTGACCATGGTCTAATTAGACATCAGAAATGTTTCTTTTTGTTATAATACATTAGATTCTAATAAATTAATAAGTAAAAATATTTACTTATTCTAGTTGATTATGTATTTAATAATGCTCGTTTATCAACTGGTGATATAATAGATTCAATGTATGAAAATGTTCGAAATATTCAACGTCTTCTAGTTATTAATCAATATGATAATAAACATTATTATTTTCAATTAAAATCTTTTCATGAAGCACGTCTTTATTGTGAATATCAACATTATCACAATTTAACAAAGAAAATATTTATTTATTTTATTCGAACTGATATTAATCAATATTTAATTCAATCATCAACATATGATGAAATGAATTTATTGATGAATGAAAATTTAATCTATGGAATTATTCCTGAAGAACAACCACTTGAATCTCTTAGTGAAATTTTATCATTAATCTATAAGAATTTATTACCACCAATTAATGATCCATCATTAAAATGTAAAATATATTTTAATGATTTTTTTTTATTGTTATTAAAAGAATATCTATTCTAGTATCTTCATCTATTGTTGAAGAAACATCTGAACGTGATCAATTACGTTTAAGTTTAAATCGTTTTCATTTACAAATACAATCAACATTACGACAAATGCAAGGTGAATTTCATTTAATGATTTCAAATAAAAATTTATTTATAAATGGAGAAGAAACAGAAGAAGAATATATTGAAAATCTTGAATATCTTGTTTATGATTGGGAAGCCATTTTACATGAAGAAATGAATAATGAATTAAATAAACGAATCTTAAATACAAATCCTCTTGATGAATTAGAATTTTGGCATGAAAGATCAATTCGAATAACTTCAATTTTAGAACAAATGAAAAAAGGTTTATTGTTCAATTTTTTCCTTCTTCTCTTTATCTTTACTCTATATAATTTTCAGATGATATTATGAGAATTATTCATATTTTAACAGATCTTGATAGTCCTTCAATAGTAGGATTTAATAATATAAAATTACAATTACAAAATTATTTATTAGAAGCTACAGATAATTATAAATTTTTATCAACAATTGAACGGCATTTAAAAACATTACAAATGGCTAAATCATTTCAAATAGTTAGCAATATGTTACCTAATTTAATGCAAGGTTTAAAAACCATTTGGTTAGTAAATTAAGAGGGTGTGG